ATCTAATTCTAATAGGGCTTGTAAGTCTCGTTTTCTCTGACTTTGAATTAGAAATTTGTCCTGGTGTATAGAGTTTTGTAATGACGGGGTGTTCAAAGTATTGTACTTGTTTGGTAAGTTTTGATAACTCGTTTAGATTTGGGAGTAACGGCGTAGGGCTGTTGCTGATATGGTTTCGTAGGTATAAAAACTTAATTTTTATTCGGCTGTTTTGTAGTTGAAGGTCTAGTGGAATCTGATTGGAAATTGATAATTAATAAGAATGCATTTTTATATATTTAATCAATAATTCTAGCAATGTCTAAAACAGCTACCCGTATTTGATTTATTGAAAGGCGTCCCTTTATTTAGGGCTTATGGGGTCCAAAAAATCGTTAAAAATGTACAAGAGAAATTGTTACAGATCGAATGCCATCATTATTGAATAGAAGTATGTTATAATAAAGCTAACGTTTTTTAAACTTTAAAACACAAATTACAGTTAAGTATCCAATAGGTAAAATATATTGTTTTCACAAGGTTACATAGCAAATATAAAAGATTTGCTATAATTAGTAAGTAATGAAATTTAGAGCGTTTTATTGTGTTTTTCAAGCATGCCTTAGTTACACATGGTTAATTTAGTTATTCTTGTGAAAGTATTTCCCTTGAATAAAATTTGGTATTTGGATCTTCAAATTGGAGATAATTCGTTGCTTACCTTTACATTCATTTCTAATTCCTGCACCTTAGGTTAACTGTTTACATATAAATACAACTTTAAGTTATTATTTTCTATTGTAAAAATTATATAGAGCAGAAGTTCTAAACAAAATAATTTGGTAGGTTTTTTTAGCATTATCAAGCAGAAAAACAAATACAGCCGTTGTAGATTGCAATACTTAATGTTAGTAGAATACAATCTTTGTCGTAAATTAAACATCTAATTAATTGTAGTTTCATATATTTCACCCTTTATAACCTTTTATTTTTCAAAAACAAAAAAAAAATCGTTACATAATCACACAATATAGACATTTTACAATGATAACTAAAGACAGTCAAGCTTAAAACAGGTACGTTCCGTTTTGTAAATCCCCTTGGGAAGACTGCAGAGAGCCCAACACTACAAGAACTGTTTTTAGTGGGGGTTTTTTCAGACTTTTTTCTCCCGGGAAGGGGGGGGGGGGAGGGGGGGAGTGAAGCAGTTAAACATTTTACGGGGAGCGGGGAGAGGGGGAGGCTATGTCATAAAGTACAAAGTAGACTCGTGGACTTAGAAACAATTTCAATAGAATGTGATTACGATTGCAAAGTGGAATTGAAGAAATTAGTACAAACTTTTGAGACGAAGGAGGCAAGTAAAATTTGATTTTGATGTCTACTTATAACGTGTATGCAATTGTTTTCTTATACATATGTTTTAGTAATTAATTTGTGTGAAAGGGGGGCGTTTTAAGAAGTTTTGCCTAGGGCGCTAAATAACCTGTCTGCAATGAACAACTCATTTCATCCCTTTTTTCCTCCATCCCCCACCCCGGGACCTTGTCCTACATCATAGTCTCTAATATGTCATTGGATCATGTCATATGTCTATACCAAGTCTATACCATCTGAGTTGTGTTGTTTTGTTGTTTGTTTTTTTTTGGGGGGGGGGGGGGGATGGTTACATGGCGATGCTTAGCAAGTTCTTAAAAGGACCAAACACATTATTATTACTTTTTCGATCTGCGTATGAAATCCGCAGAGGTCTGCACACACATCTCATTTACAAGTTCTGGAGCCGTCTCTGGAGTCTACATTCAGTGTCCATGCCTGGCATCTAAATAAGAAGACGGACATATAAGCGACTGCATGGGTTTGATTTTTTGTGCCGAGAGAAGTCTTTCTTTCAAGTCTAATGTTAAGTGATAGTTTGGACCATTCTTGCTTGCAACTTTCCTTCTAAAGAGAGAAAGGTAGTGTATTTTGTGTGCGCGGTGATCTAAAAGTGTGAATACAAGGCCATGTATATATTTTACAAAATGACTGCGCGGCTGGTTCCCTTCTACTGTGCGGCTGGTTCCCTTCTACTGCGCGGCTGGTCCCCTTCTACTGTGCGGCTGGTTCCCTTCTACTGCGCGGCTGGTCCCTTCTACTGCGCGGCTGGTCCCTTCTACTGCGCGGCTGGTCCCTTCTACTGCGCGGCTGGTCCCTTCTACTGCGCGGCTGGTTCCTTCTACTGCGCGGCTGGTCCCTTCTACTGCGCGGCTGGTTCCTTCTACTGCGCGGCTGGTCCCTTCTACTGCGCGGCTGGTTCCCTTCTATTGCGCGGCCTAGAAGGAACATTGCTTGCGAGTACTTGTTGCCTCAGTAAAAGCCAAGGGCGACATGGAGACGCTCAGTAGAAAAACAACTGACCAGAGAAGGACTATCTTGGTGAATTACCAAGCCAAGAAATTTTCCAGATACCGGCAAAAGTGGAAAGAGCTTACTGTAGCGGCCCCTTGTATTCTTGACCTCGTCACCAAAGGGAAACGATTAGTACTTTTTTTATTCATTCCCTTGTCAGACAAAATGGCTCCAAGGTACTCCCCATATCTTTGACCATTAACCGGTGTATGTGCCTGGAGTGAATACGTGAGGGAACGAAAGGGATGAATGTTGTTTGTACTACGTAGGTGTCATCCATAAATGACGTCACGCTTTTTTGACGCTTTTTACCTCCCCCTCCCCCCCCCCGTCACACATCGTCACAAAAAGCCAGACCCCCCCCCCCCCTAAAATGACTTCACACCCCAGCCTACAGCCCCTCCCCCCCCCCCCCAAAATTGCAGTTGAATTTTTCTTAAAACATCGATATTTTTCCAAAATCTTGTCTGAACTCTGTCAAAATTGAGTATTTTAACCAATTCCTATTACAATTTATTAAAAAGTTTTCTAAAAAGCGAAATAACGTCTAAAATACGTTTTCTAACATTGCTTTTTAAATAATGCAAAAGTGTAACGTCGCACCATCTGAACCCCCCCCCCCCTCCCCCTCATCACACACCGTCACAAAAATCGCCCCCCCCCCCTCCCTCCTACGCGTGTGACGTCATTTATGGACGACCACGTACCCTGCACCGTTTGGCCACGTTTACTCCTGCTGTGAGTTGTGTAATTACCTGAGCGTCCGGTTTGTACTTGTTTGTGTACGGCAGGGGTCTCCAAACTTTTCAGTCCGAGGGCCGCATTAACTAACAAATTTCAGTTCGGGGGCCAGTTTCTTCCAGGCATGTCTTTGATTTTTCTGGGCAAAGTTCCTCAGCCAGCACTAACAAATGTTTTTTTCCGTGGACAAAATAATCTCCGCGGGCCGGATGAGAGGTCCTCGCGGGCCGCATTCGGCCCGGGGGCCGTAGTTTGGAGACCCCTGGTGTACGGGTATAAAACAACGAACAGGTGTGTGGCAGCGTAGTTGAATGCCTCAGACCAGCATTTCACATCTACCAGGTTAATGTACTGTATGGGATGGCGTAGTTGAATGATAGCCCGAAAGTCTCGAGTTCGAACCCGGGTACAAATCAGTAGAAGGTCTCTCAGTCCAGAGGCGTTGCGAGAGGGGGGGGGGGTACATATGTACCCGGGCGCCGACCCTAGGGGGCGCCAAAATGGGTTGGAAAAAAATTAAAAGCTCAATTTAGTTGCAGTTTTGCATTATAAATATAAAAAATAAATTTGGGGGGGGGGGGGGGGCAAATTGAAATTTGTTCACGGGCGCCGGGAAGGGTCGCTGCACCCCTGCCTCAGTCCACCCAACTCTGATGTTAGGGAAGTAAAGACGGCTGGGCATAATGTTGACCACACTATCCCATTATATGTGAAGGTCACTGAAACGGGTGACCTCTACATCACTTGCCTCATGAACCGCCAGATTCGAAATGAAATTTTAACTTACTACTTTACCTTAGTTCTGTAGCCACTGTATCTTATATTTGTGGACTCTTGTGTTATTCAATAAGAATAGACTGTGTTTATATGTGTGTAGAGTGTTATTAGCTTTAATTTAGTGGTGCAACGAGCTTTTATTTTATTTAGTCTTGTGTTCTCGTAACCAGCTGGTGATCGGTGGTCTTATATGTTGCGCGACGCACTTGATAACCCTTAAAGGTGTTACAATTCGGATTGTTGGTCACGACCTTCGTCTCAGTGTTGATGTCCACGCCATGTGCTGTAGTAGATCTGTCATATCGGTGTACTAATTCTACTAACTCGCCTTTGTAACTGGCTCGAATAAATAAAGCACGATCTCTCTTACTCTCTGTAAAAGGTAATCAAAACAATAACAAACACAAGTGGTACCTCATCAAATCGGTCAAATCGGAATCCCCCCCCCCCCCACCCAAAAAAAAAAACCATCCAATACAAGTTCCCCGTTCCCCGTCAAATAAATTAAAGTACATCAGGCGTGGTATAATGATAGAGCATTTGGGTACTAGCCCAAAGTTCTCGAACAGAGTTTCTTCCAGGCATCTCTACGAGGGCGGAGGGGGGGGGGGGAAGCTCCGGAGAAAGTCTATCGCCCCCCCCCCCCCCGAAAATATCAAGTGTTTTTTGTGTTTTTTAAACGGCCTATGTGGAAAAAGGCCTCCGTGCTTACTGTTGTTACCGTTATTGAATAAATTGTATACAGTTATGTCCGGCTGGACATTACTGATAACCTAAGCATGAATTAAAATTAAAAACAACAAAGGCATCAGGGGAAGGAAATGCAAGCTTAGGAAGGGTCTGAAATAGCCTCCCCTTATTTTAAAAAAAAAATAACACTAAATGAATTAAAACCAATCTTTTATCCCTATGGTTAAAACTTAGTTTAAAAATAAAATAAGCAAAAAATACCATAGTGTTTTTAGTCGTTAATTTCAAAACCCAATCTGACTTAACAAAACAATCATGATTGATGGAAATCTTAAGTGGACTAAGCTGATACACACCATATTTAGATTAGTAGAGTAAGGGTTTGGTTAAAACAGATATAAAAAACTATAAAAGTAAACAAGAAAGTAAACAAAAAATTATTTATTAGCAAACAAATAACCAACTCGAAAATTGTCAACCATCACATCAGTTAATTAATTTTAATTTGCAATTTAATGAAAGAATACAAAAATATTTTAATTGAACACAAGCAATTATTTTTTTCTATAAATACAAACTAGTTTTTTTTTAAGTCCAACACTGGAATCTAAGATGCTTTGACTCTTACAACACATCATACAAAGATCTTTTATAAAGACACATAACAACAGCAACTTTGACTCTCTCAAGAGAAGTTAGCAGTTTTCCAGTATGTGCGTTAGTGTTTCTATTAGTTTCACCGAAAGACAGCAGTATGAACCCTCAACAACCAACAACTTTAGCAATAGAAAATATTCTAACAGGAAAACAGCCAAAAAAAATTACTACCTCATTTAATGTGAAAAGAGTCATATTGATAATAATAAACTAGAAAGTTAACGATTATGATACTTATATTATTAACTGATTTATTATTTAACCGCCAAGTTGCTTTTATTGAAATTGTTTTACAAAATCATACCCTAACCAAAAAATCCCACATTTATTTAACAATCAAATGTTTTTTAGAAATTTATAAAACGCTTTTCAGTATTGCAAAATTAATTTTTTAGCTACTTTAAATACTAATGTACAATACACTTTAATTGATCAAATATGTTTGTAGATAAAAACAGCTTAACCCTTAGTGAAATAGACCATAAAATTATGTTTATTAGAAACATCTATCATTTTATTTTTAAAATTTTATAGTAGCTTTGCGTAGAAGTGTGTTTCAACATTCTAAGTATTATTGGGAGTGACTTAACTCCCTTGAACACAAGTGAGACAGATAAATGTAAACATGTTTAATATGTTAGATGTGTGTCTACAAGTTAGGGAAAGATAACCCTGGGTTATGTAGTTAGATACACATATTAAAATAAAAAAAAACATATCACTTTGGCTCTAGTGGGACAAATATTTTAAAGAAATAAAACATATTTTAATTTTCTTGTTAAAAATAATATACAGTATTGTTTAATGAAATCAGCATATATTTTTTAATTTTGGCCAACTTTTTGTAGCTCATATTTTTTTCTTACTCATATCAGGCATCTATTTTACAGCCACTGAGCTACAATTACATAATCATACAATAAACTTTTTGGCCTGAAGAGTTCAGTTTTTAAATCAAGGCTTAAATCCATTAGTATATGTTTTGTTACAACTTGTAGAAACAAAACAATTAAGAAATACCTGAACTCTACTTGCTCAAACTAGTTTATGTATGTATCTACATTTCTAAGAGAGAATAAACAGTTTTTGGAACAGTCACCAGAACAATATGTTATAGAAGGTTAGTTTACGTGTTTATAATTTGTAAGACTACACACAACCATAAATTCAATTTTAAGATTAGTCGATCTAAAAAAATATTATTTTTTTAGCGCTAATATCTGTATGGCAGTGTTATAACATTTACTTAGTGCTACAGATTGAAACATAGATACAACAATTACTTTTTTTGGGATTGGACAATAATTTCTAATGTTATTAAAATTTAATTAAATTCTGGATGTATCTTATAATTATCATTATTTGTGAAAAACATTTTATCTTTATAGTGAAATGTCTATCTTTATTTCTTTTTTTTACATTTTTTTTCTACAACTTACTAATTATAATTTTTGTCCCCATTTTCTTATAATTTTTTTATCAATATTTAAAACACCTTATAATTTTTACTCACACCTCATAACATCCCCTTTTAATTTTTATCTTTATAACTAAAAAATTGTTGACCCAATGTTATAGGGCTGGTAAGTAGGTCAATAAACAGTTCTACGGCTCAATAAAACCTGCATGAGCCACATAACTGTTTATTGACCTACTTACCAGCCCTATAGTTATTACACAAATATTTTGAAACATTTCATCCTTAAAATCTGTATTTTATTCTAGATCTAGGTAAAAATCCCCTTTTGTATCTTCAGGAAAAAAAAATCTAACATTTTTTTCACAAAATTGCAGAATTTTTAACTGCGAATCTCATAATGAGTTAAAATAGTATGCTTTTTGCACACATTTCAAAGTTATTTATTGTAAATAACACTTGCATTAACCGTTTTTTAATTTTAAAATATTACATACATTGTAAAACCCGCACATTGAAGGATTTTTTTAGGCCATATTTAAGTGTGTTCGGTAGGATTTAATTAAAATATAATTTTATATTGGAACAGGAAATCTTTAGATGGTTTAAAACATGATTAGACAAGTCCTTCACCACCCTATGGTTAATTTAAATCCTGGCAGATCAATACAGAAAAATGTTTTAAAATTAAATAGATACTATGGTAAACATTTGTACAAGAGATCACTTCCACTTTTGAAATTAAAAAATTTTCTTAAATATTTTAACAGTTAATACCGAAACAAAACGATAAAAAGTATATAAAATATAAAAACCAAATTAAATATGCTAGTATTGATTTTTTTTCAATATCAAATTAATGCTGCCTAAATAAATTGTGACATAACTAGAATTATAAATTTTATCATAACTACAATTTTTTTTAAATGTATTCCAAATAAATAGGAATAAATCTTTTGTTTTTTTGTGTAATTCTAACAGGCCAAACACATGATTGGAGTAGTTCCAGTGTACTGCTCAAATACAAGCAATCTCTTGTTTTTCCTTGAACACATCACACAATATTTTATCAGTGACAGCTTATCATACAAAGCTTGATCATTAAATGCCTTAAATTAAGGTTCTGTTAAAAAAAGGAATTTTTATCAATCATGTTTGTTGACAAATATGATAAACTGAGTATGACAACAAGTCATGTGATCACATTGAGAAATTTGAAAGGAAGATGTTGTTTTTTTTAAAATACACCAACTAGCCTCGTTCATGAATAACATTTTTTAAAAGATAAAATATAATGAAAAACAATAATAATATAATGAAAAAACAAGAATATAACTTCATAAAAAAACAATATAATTAATAATATTCATTATATATGAATTCCTTATTCTTTACAAAATAAGCCTTAACAAAACTACCAACGTAAACACATTAAATATTTTAATATCAATTCAGAACAAATTTTTTAAAATAAAGATAATATGAGTAGTTCCCTGTTTATTTAATAATTTAAAAACTTTGTTAGTACTTGCAAAATTTATTTCTTAAAATGTTGTTTTTAAATTTACATTTGTGTTACATTTTTTCCACATAAAAATGATCAAATAGGATAACGCAAGGGTATGGTGAAGCTGGGGACACGCCCAACGCCGGTGACTGTTAGCGTCTTATCCCACAGCCTGGCAGTGGCGTAAGCGTTTCCACCAGGGCGCGTCTCGATGACTCCTTGAAAAGTGATATGTTGGATGCCATGATCGTCAACAAAATCCCAACCTGCGTGCTCATGGCCGGCAAAGACTCCGATGACGCACCTAAACTGGTGGATGATGTTCATGATGTCGTCGTAGTTCCAGGCAAGACAAATGGTGTAGTCACGATCTTCACATTGTAAGGCCACGTGGGCTTTCAAAAACAAACAAAATTATCATTTTTATGTATTAGAACTTGCAGATTAAAATTAAGTTGAAATATTAATTTACTAAAAATATATGGGGGAAAGCAATCCGATGGGATCAAATTTGTCTCAAAGTTTAATTTTTTTTTTAAATCGTGCGCAGTTAAATTTTTAAAATGTGACCATCAAAACTTGACTGTATGTTTTTATTTATCATTTTTATACTAATTCAACATATTTATGGTTATTAATTATTTTAGGTAGCTTAACAATATTTGAAAAAAAAATCTGGTATTCTTTTGTCGCCAAATGGTAATGTTAAAATGTAAACAACCTAGTGATAACAAGGGCATGCTGACATTCAATATTACAATCATCTACTGGCAAAGAAGTGGGGCCTGAAGAACAAAAATTACAGGACGGTCCTGATTAAATAACAGCAGACAAAATTTCTCTTAAGTGTAACATGCCAGGTTGGTTGTAAATAGATATTGTAGCCTAAAATAAAAGTAATTTTTGTCTATGTAAACAATAACATTGTGTCTCTTTGCAAAAGTTTAGCTGATGTGTTCTGTTATTAAAGGAAAGTACTCATGTGAGGTAAAAATGTTATATAGGCCTACATACATACACACATATATATATATATATATATATATATATATATATATATATATATATATATATATATATATATATATATATATATATATATATATATATATATATATATATATATATATATATATATATATATATATATATATATATATATATGTATATATATTTAATACCAATCTTTAATATCTTAATAAGGGCATCATGATTTTGTTGACGGCTATTTAAAAGTTCTAAACTATTATTTACTAGCATGGAAAAATAAAAACAGTTTAAAAGACTGTTTAAATATCATTCAATCATTTTTTAAAATAATTTATTAGAAAACTGAAGGATTATCTTAAAGTTGCCAGGAAAGTTCATTTTTCATGCATAAAGAGTTTTAATTTGTATTTTTATAGAGCTACTAAGTTTAGAAAAGAGTAACGGTTCACAAAGCTAAATTATGTAAAGCTGCGACTTTAAAAAAAAATTACACTCACTCATAATGATGACATTTTCTTCCTTTGACTGAGCTTTCTGCAACACTTGAGAGAGCCATTGCAGCTGCTTCTCACTGATGCCGCCATTGTACGCCGCCCACCTCTTCTCCAGCCCGCTCAGGCCCTCAACACTGTTGATATCCTCGTTCTTGTTTCTTTCTCGCATCCACATCTGTGCTGTTTTGTAATTCTCGTCCTCTAGGCTATCCTTATATCCTAAAAGACCCACCTCGTACGTATCAAGGGCAACAATTCTCAGTTTTGGATAAGGCAAAAATGTGTAGTAAAGATGATTTGTGGCTGTTTCTATACTGAGGGAAAGTGAACTGTTGAGGCTTGATGTCAGATAAAAAGATCGGTTCAAATTGTAGAGTTCATGATTTCCAATGACGTGGTAGATAGGTATATGGAGGGAATTTAAGGGGTGCAGAGCTGTACTGAGAGCCCGTTTACTGTTGGTATCACCCCCAACGTTGTTCTTCCCATCAATGAGATCCCCAAGCTGCAGAACAAAAGCAACGGGGTCATCCAAGCGTTTCCAGTCATTGATTGCGTTTTTTAGCAGGTTTAAAGAATTTCTGTAGAAGCGCTCTCTTGTTTTAGAAAAGTCTGTACCATCATCACAATCTGCATACTGAACATCAGCTATGATGCCAAATGTGATGTGTGGCTTTTCCCTTATCGATGTTGAGGCCATTGATTTTTTTAAAGTGCTTACCAACAACTAAAACAAAACAAAATTTAAACAACATTAGTTTTTTGTTTTTTTTTAAATTTAAATTTGTTTTTGCAAGTAATTGACAAATTATTTTAACCTAGCTGATTTAAGATAATTCATTTTTTTCTATAGTTATATACATATTTTTTATGACAGAGTTTATAATTAGTGGGGTTTAAGATTATGACTTTCATATAGAGATGCATTCAACAGATCCTGCGATTGAGATGGCAGGACAGAGTATCTAACACAGACCTGTAGAAAAGGATTAAGCAGGAGCCTATTGGAGCTTAAATCAGAAGGAGGTACTGGCTTTGAATTGGGCAGATGCTGCATCAGATGCATACATATTTGAAATATTTGGTGCTTGATTTAAGCTACCATAGGCTCCCCAGGGGAGGCTAAGGAGAGGGTCTCCAAGATAGTACTGGAGAAAGATTTTAAGGCAGTAGGGATGTTTTGGGATACAGCTAAACACATAGCCAGGACAGGACAAAGTGGTAGATTATGGTTAAGGCCTTATGCAGGAGTAAAGAGGTTTATTTATTTAATGTGGTGATTTGTAAACATCATAACTTTAAGGATATCTAATTTATTTTAGATGGTGCTTATTCCCTACATCCTTAGGTTAAAAGAAGGAAATTTAATAACATTACTTACATGTTGAGTGGCTATATATATCACAGATACCAAAACAAAAGTCAGCACTAAAGAATGCTTCCTCCAGACCTCTTTGAAAGCTATGGTGTATGCCTTTGAATGATGTTGCCGTCAATCCGTTTTTGCCAAAATGTGTTCTAACTACTTTGTCTTTTTTTGTCTGGAAATAAATATATTAAATAGAATACAACACAAGTATAACGGAATTGTGCCATTTATATATGCTGGTCAAAAAATTATTGTGAAAACAGTAGCTCCCAACCATTTATTTAGTCTACATACCTTCTGGACAGTTATTTTTTTACTTTAATTAATTGATTTCTGATATTTTTGCATTGAACAAAATCAAATGTATATAATACCATATATATATATATATATATATATATATATATATATATATATATATATATATATATATATAACTAAACAAATTACATATATATATATATATATATATATATATATATATATATATATATATATATATATATATATATATATATAATTTGTTTAGTAACCAACTAGTAAGTGAAAAGCAATTTTACTTCTTTTCATATTGATTTTATGGTTTGATATCGATAGTTGCCCAGTGTTGACAGTGACAATGGTTATAGAGATCAGAGCTTTATATTTTATAAGTATACTAGCACTCACAACATAGTCACAAATCTCAACATGTCTTTATTAGTTAGTGATTACTAGCTGACTAGATAGTAATAGTATAATGGCTATGACTAGTGACTAGGATAGGAGATCCGAAGCAATAACTGAATTAACTTGATCAGTGTCACTGAATAAGTAAGTAAAAGTAGTACTGTACTAGATCTAGAGTAACTAGAATACTATTATTTATTATACTCATTGCTCAACTAACTTACTACCTGGGTCTTCTTGCATAACTTAAATTAAAAATAAATTTTATTAAATTTGATTTTGATCAAATTAGAATAAGGCCCAATGAGCCTTAATGACTATTATTATTAAGTATTTAGTGTGGAAAAGTGACAAAGAATCTCTTTAGAAACCCAGGAACAAGATTAAGTCTAGCATCCATTGTTTTCTTCTACTCATCATGTCCACAATCATTCACAATCACAATGATACCGTCATCTGATCAGCTGTTGATAGTTGGAGGCTGAGTTGTTTACAAACTTGAAACTAAGCTTACTATTCCTGGTCTATACCAGAAGCATTTGATACGACTTAATGTTTTATTATTATAAAGAAGTAACTTGAGTTTATTTGTATAAGCTTTATTAAACTGCACGTACTTACTTTTGTAAAAAAAAAAAATTATCCTAATAACTGAGTGGAACAAAATGATGACATTGGCAACACATCATAATATTTCAAGAGTGATCTCCCTTTCCCGGATATAACTAACGAAACATTACGTGTACCACATTTTTGCGTAAAACAAAAATTTTAAATATTTAAATTAAGAAAAAAATGATACTAGATCTTTAATCTAAATTTAGATATAGATCTAGAAGTCTAAAACTATTGGTGCGGTCTAATCTATTACATAATGGTGGGTTCTAGGGAGAGTTAAATGATAAATATCCCCATTGTCTAACAACCATATTGGTAATAGTTATAACCCCGGTTTTCGTTGATATAAATATTAATATAGATCTAGATCTATAGGCCTTGGCTACCCTAAAAATAGATGAAATTTAAAAAAAACGTTATTGGATTAAGTTTCACAAAACAAGATATCTAACCCGCATATTTAATGTTTGCCTAAAATTTGACAAGATGTAAACTAATTATGCAAATCAAAAAGCGCACTACTAAAGGCGCCCGATGTAAATTCGCGTCTCCACCGTAATAATTGTCTTTTTTAAATTTTTAAATTTAACTATATAGACCCTAAATGTCAAAATGCTATAATACCTGTAAGGGAGACATCCTTAAATGGCGTCACGCTTTTTTGACGATTTTTACTCCAGAAAAGCAAGACCACCCTAAAAGCTTACAACCCTCTCAAAATTACTGTTACATTTTTTAAAAACATCGATTTTTTTTTCCTAAAATATCGACAAAACTTGTTCAACATTGAGTGCTTTAATCAATTTTTATTACAATTTATTAAAACAGCTTTCTAAAATTCGAAATAACCACTAATATTCAGTTCCTAACATTACTTTTTTAAAATGAAAAAGTGTGACGTCACACTATCTGACACTCCCATTTCCCATATCACACATCGTCACAAAATTACGGATCTCCCTTCCTCTCCGAGCGTTATGTCATTTATGGACAACCCCTTATCATTCTGCCAAACTCAGCTTTGACTTGGATTTCTTTTACTGTTAAAACAAACACAACAGACCTAACTCAGAAAAACGGTTCTCAGAAAGATAAAAAAAAAAAAAGCGCAACGAAAAAAAGCGCAAAAATGTGCATTGGAAAAATGCGCAAACAGAAAAAAGCGCAAACAGAAATTTACGCACACAGAAAAATGTTTCTGGTCACTGGGGGGGGGGGGGGCGGTTACCGTGTGAAATGCTTCGTCCTCGTCCACCCGCACTTTAAATATATTTTCCGAGTTTTTTGTCAACAATAAAAAAAAAAAAACATGCTATGTTACATTATTCGACCCCCCCCCCCGCCCTCGACTACCTACACTTGTCAGAGGCGTAGCGACCCTTCGATTTGCCCCCCCCCCTCCTCGAACTTTTCATTTGCACCCTCCCCCCCACCTCAAATTTTCGATGATTTGCACCCCACCCTCGAACTTTTCGTTTGCACCCCCCTCCCTCAAACTTTCAATTTGTTTTTCCAACCCATTTTGGCGCCCCCCCCCCCCCTAAGGTCGGCGCCCGGGGACATATGCCCCCCCCCCCCCTCGCTACGCATCTGACTCTTGTAGTCACATTTTTTTCGGCTCATCTTTGGTGTGTGACGTCAATTATAAATTTGCCTATTAAGAACTTAGTTAAACAAAAATTTATAAGTTCATTCCCAGTCAGCACACATATATTGGCCCAATATTGGCTAAACATTGGTTACCAATATTGGCTACATCTTGGTGCAACATTGGCTTAACCTTGGCGAAACATTGGTAGTGAAACTCGGCATGATGTTGGCGCAATGTTGGCACAATATTGGCTATATCCCGGCTACATATTGGCCCAACATTGGCTAGATCTTGGCCAAATATTGGCTATATCCCGGCTACATATTGGCCCAACATTGGCTATATCCTGGCTACATATTGGCCCAATATTGGCTACATCTTGGCTCAATATTGGCTATATCTTGGCCCAATATTGTCTATATCATGGTTACATCTTGGCCCAATATTGGCTACATCTTGGCTCAATAATGGCTATATCTTGGCCCAATATTGGCTATACCTTGGCTCATCCTGTATTATATCCTGGCTACATCTTGGCCCAATAATGGCTATATCTCGGCTATACCTTGGCTCAGCCTGTATTATATCCTGGCTACATCTTGGCTCAAATTTTTATTTTTAGCATACAAAAAGATCCATTCTCATATCAGTCATAATATTTACAAAGGTAATTTCAAAATGTGAAAGAAATTTTAATCAAAATGTAGTAAAGCAGCAATACATACACAAGAACTGCTCATCTATTAAAATCCGTATTATACCATCCATTCAATTGTAAGAAAATTATAACTATACTATAAAGTATTGATTGAAAAAGAATAAGTAAATTATAGTGTAGTAACTTTCATTTTGACTTTTATACAAACAAATTAAAACAAATATACAAAACATTTTCATATAATGTAACAGATGTTAAGCAGGCCTACAGTTTAAATTAAACTAATGTAAAAACTTAATTTACTGTACAAGAATACAGAAGCTGTCTTGTACTATGATACGTAAACATAACATTAAAAATAAAAAGTATAAAATATTTGTCTAACAACATTTAATTGCATAGCTCGTTTAAGTATTCTAATTAAGGTTTACATTTTAATGCTGGACCAGTCTGCCTTGTCCATAAATAACAGAACGAAAATATGTTCAGGATCTCTAGATTATAATTGTGGTTAAATAGTGTTGAAATGAATGCCATTGTGTATACAAAATGTGCAATCTTTCAAAAGACAGATGGTTCGAGGGTTTATACGCATTGTGTAGAACAGGAATATCACTGCGATATTTAATAAATGTTTTTTTGTCTCGAGTATGAGGTATTTAATTATAGTAAACTGAATATATATTAATTTACTTCATTAATTAGAAATAAATATCACCAGCAGAAGTATTGTCAATACAAATGTTGCAAGCTTTTTTCAGATTGTACAGTGAAACTAAATAATGAAAGGAATTTGCAACTAATTCTTTAAAGAAAAAAATGTCAATTGTATATTTCATTTAGGGCATTAAATCTACACTAAACATACATACAATGCCAACTTAAATTATTATATTATTACAAAAGGAAACAATTTATTAATTTAAAATCAGCATTGTTCTTAGACTATTTTGGTAAGAGCATCTTTTCTTTTCGTTAAGCACTTAAATGCAATATGTATTAAACTGTTAACCTGATCCATCTGATCAAATTTTTTTTTTTAAATCTGATCTAAAATTATTACAAAAATCAATGTTGTCCTCATTCTTGTGGACCCTTGTGGAGCTGAGAGACACAACCACACCTCTCTATTTTTATACTTGGTTTTAGGAGATTCCCCAAAGTTGTGTCCATAACACTCTGCCTGCTTGTGTTTTGTTGGTTTCTGATATTTTCCATGTTTGTTTTGGATAACAAACTTTCTCTTTCCTTTGGGATTCAAATCCAATAAAACCCTGGTTGTTGATTTATGCAAGGTATGTCATAATCCATCCACATTCTAAAAAAGAAAAGTTACACACTAAAAGTCATTTATGAAATAATTACAACCATACACTGCTCATTTTGCACTAAATTTATAATGTTTATTTTATTTTGCACTGCACTGAACATACAACAAGAAGCCCCTAACATCATGTTTGCTACCTTGTAACGATATATTATATAGGTATAAAGACTGGTGGTCTGGGGTGTTCATGCTACCCAGGTAACACTTATACTGCATATATATATATATATATATCTATATATATATATATATATATATATATATATATATATATATATATATATATATATATATATATATATATATATATATATATATTTATAAACAAAAGTGAAAAAAAAAACCTGGTAATAAAAAAAATAATAGTATGTATATAAATATTATAAACCCCTTACCCTATGTCTCTGAGCTAAGAAGGTGCCAGACAATTTTTGAGCAATTTCATCAACTTTATCAATTCAGTAATTGAACGATTAGACCCTTCAGAGTGACCCAGAAGTAATGCTTGTGGTCTGAAATTATTTTACTAATATCAGTAAAGGCATTAACTACACATGCTGATCAATACATGCAAGCAAAAATTACTAAATGAAAATTATTATTCACTTTGAAACAATGTAAACTTACAGTTGTTAAGTGTTAAGAACATTTAGTCATTTTCTGGTGTAGCCAGTATTTGGTGAAGTATCAAGCAGTGGGGACCTTATAATTTATTAAAGATTGATATATCTCCAGTGGGCTGATTGATATACACAACACCTGAAAGGCCTGAAAATAAATGGCATTCTTAGTTATTAAATATAATAATAAAATGAGTGAGTGATACAATAAATGATAGCCAGATTAGATACTAATTTTTAAGTATCTCTGTTTATTTGATCTCTGTATATAAAGGATTGTGTAGTCAACACTATATCTAGTATTATCTAGCCACCTTTTTTATTTCATAGTCTTAAATTGGGTATATATCAGACTTAGGTGAACTGATGAATGTACTACTAACTTGGCTTTATGTTTAGCAATAGTGTCCTCAACCATTTGCCTACTCTGTCCTCTATATGATAATATGAGTAGTGTTGATCATTAAGTATGGCTTACTAATAGTACCATCTTATCGCTGTTGGTCATGAAATTAAGTGTTGCTCTGAGGTCTCCACACTACTATTTACACAACTTACATCTTATTCATCAAAACATGCATTAGACTGGAATCCCCAGGGAAAAAGGAGGGTGGGCCGGCCAAGGAAAACATGGAAGAGAACGGTTGAGGAGGAGGCGAAAACAGCTGGGCTCTCATGGGCACAGATTAGAGGAGCAGCCCAAAACCAAGTCCGCTGGAGATGTGTGGTTGCAGCCCTTTGCTCCCCAGGGGCCACAAAGGAGTGATGATGATGACATCTTATTCTCCCATAGGGACCTGTAACAGTAATAGAAATTTGAATGACAATCTTGAATCAATTTAGAATTCTAGTTGACTAATTTTTTTCAAAATTAATACCTATCAAAATACACTGTTTAACATGTAGAAATTTGTTCTATAATTGTGTCTACTGTTCCTCTCTCTCTCTCTCTCTCTCTCTCTCTCTCTCTCTGAATTAATTAATAAAGACAGTTTCAAATCCTTACACAAATAGGCCTAGAACAATAAAATTAAGTTTTTAAAAAAGTTAAAGTGAATGATTATTTATTAATTTATAAACATTTAAGCCCCCTCCCCCCTTTCCCTGTGCGTGATAATTATACCTAAAGTTGAAAACCAATAAATACATCGATCTATCAATAATCAATATAACCCCAAACGTACTTGCCAGAGGCGTAGCGAGGGGGGGCGGGGGGGGGGACATATGTCCCCGGGCGCCGACCTTAGGGGGGGCGCCAAATTGAAAGTTTGAGGGGGGGGTGCAAATGAAAAGTTCGAGGGGGGGGGGGGTGCAAATCGAAAGTTTGAGGGGGGGGTGCAAATGAAAAGTTCGAGGGGGTGTGCAAATCGAAAGTTTGAGGGGGGGGTGCAAATGAAAAGTTCGAGGGGGGGGGGGTGCAAATGAAAATTTGCTCCCGAGGGGGGCGCCAAATTGAAAGTATGTCCCCGGGCGCCGGGAAGGGTCGCTACGCCTCTGGTACTTGCATACTTTTCAATACAAAAAAAAGTGCTGTCAAAATTAACCGCCCTCTGATTACGATTTTTAGTTATTTAGTATTATTAGAATCTAGATCTATTATATCTATCATAAAGGAGATTATTGTAAAATGTAATTATAGCCTAATGCCAAAATAAACAGAATATAGACTCTAGTATTATTAATATATAGATCTAGACTAGATCTAGATCTAGGCTCATTTTATTACCTCAAATAAACTACCTTTTATAACTTTTATTTGATGACTTAGGCCCATAAAGTTAAAGTTTCCAACAAAAAAATACGAATTTTCCAGATTCTGCATAAATACAGTTATACTACTTCTCACTGTTGAACTAAAATGGCTACAGTGGGCCTACCTGTTTTACTGTGACTGGATACAAAGTCTTTTGTTAAGAAAAATGGCGCAGGACCGGGATGCTGGCTTGCGAACAATAGGAAGGAATGTGAACAAAGGGACAATGGGCGACAGGGGGCCATGGCAGTAGCGCACACAATTTTAAAAAGATTAACAAAATGTTTAACACATGCAACGTAGTCTGTTATTGATGCTATGTTTACATTAGAGCATGATATTAAAAGATAAATTAATTTTAGTTAACATATATTAAGTTTAACAAGCATATTTAACTAAAATTTATGCAGTGAATCCATAAATCAGTGTAATCTTGGCAGCCAAGGTAAAAACGGTTAAATATCAAGGTATCAAGGGATGCAAGCATGTACAAATCTTGGCTGTACCCTGGCGTAAGCTTGTCCAATGTTTGGCCATGATTACAACATTGGGCCAAGGTTGGGCCGACCCTGGTATTACATACTGTGTTAGCTGGGTTGGCCTTGTGGATTGTCCTATTTGCTGTAGATCTACAAATGCATTATATTATAAGCTTTAATAAGTAACTAGATTCTAGGCCTTCAAAGTAGGCTACTGTAGTAAACTATAAACAACAACAGTGTTTGATTAATAGTTCACTACTACTACCACTAGATATAGTAGTCTAGATTCTAGTCTAGGGAAGGGGGTGGGGTGGAATGGGGGGGGGACTAACTAAATTTTGTAAACAATCTGATTTTATAGAGTAGTTTCCCCTGAATTAATAGGTAAACAAGTTTTGTTAAAAAATTATTAGATTATTATTAGATCTATTAATTTATTATCCTAAGATCTAGATCTAGATCTAGAAAATCTAGATCTGAAATCTAAACTGAAACTCGGACGTGTAGGTCTAGACTCTTGAGTATTGTTTTAATTATTTTCACTGTAACACTCATTTAATTTAGCCCTCGCGTCTAGTTGATAGTCTGACTGATTACTGATTTGTCAGAAGTTACTCAAGTTTAGATTTTACCTCACTGACTAAACTTAGTTTAGTCAGTGAGGTAAATAAAATCTTAGTACGAGGCTAAACTAAGATTTTACCCCCAGGCCTAGGACTAGGTCTACAAAAATATAATACAAAAGCACATCTTTTTAATTTTTATTGAATATTGGCTGTTACGTTAGTTACCGCGTCTGACAGCTGACAATAAATACTAAAATACTAACACTGTCTAACACTAACTATTATGTAACTAATTAGTAATTATAATAGATCTACTAACATTTACCCTTTTTTAAAACTCTAAACTCTAATAGTTTAATATTAATAAATACTATTAGTAGTTTTAAAGTATTAAATAAATATTAAATAGGCCTAGGCCCTATAGATAGGGGCCTAAATAATAAGTATTAGTATAATAGTTCCTAGATCTAGGTGGTCTATACAATTTACTAAAATAGGAATGTAATACTAATAAATAGGCCTAATAGGAATAGTTGCCTAATTAGTAATTAATGTCATTATTAATTAAAATGTTAAGTAAAAATTGCAAGGTTTTACCTTTGTCCTTTACCGGTTAGTGCCAGTAAGTTTGTAACTATTTCTATTGTCTTGAATCTAGAATCTGAGATAAGGATGTCTATCTGCATATTATTAATTATTAGTTTGGGCTAAGGCGAAGGGCAACTAATTTTTTAAAAATTTGGACGGTAAGACTAGGATTAGGTTAGTCACTAGTATCAGTGTTGACATTCAACAAGTAACTAGTTTTGGCCTATATACTATTACTAGTATTATGTACTATAGTAGCCATCGGTATCCATTACATGCAAATTATTATTATAGGCCTATATATTTTTAATGTTATACATAAAATAGTTATTGGTCAAAATGCAATGTGCTTTACTGCAGGTTGAACAATATTAGTGACAAAGCAAAGAAATAACTAAATAGCTAAAAATCGAACACATTTAAAATAACATAGGCCACCAATACCTATAAGAAAATATTAAACCAAATTATATACATTATTAGTCAACACAACACCATAATAAATGCACACACTGATTAAGAGACTTAAATATTGCGTTAAAAACCGGCTGTTAAATGGTATTTATGTTGTTTTTTAAAGTAATTTATATTAGTTTTGGCCAAGAAAATTGAATAAATTTCATAGCATACGTCTTGATAAGTAGATCTATAGATCTAAATAAAATTTGAATGAAATAGTTCATTTCTTTATATTCTAAAATTGGAAGATGTGGGAAGTGAATCTTATTGAAGATAATGTCATTAGTATTGTGCATCATTTATGACATTTAATGTTTAATTCTATTTTTTCCCTTATTGAATGACACCATTAGTGGTGTGTCGTTAGTGGTGTGTACTTTCTGTAGTTTCAACATGTGACGTCATTTCTTTTGTGTTACTTATATCTTCTCTAGGGCGTTCGTGTTAAAACCATAAACACTTTTCCGGTTGCATAATTAAAAATGTGTTTCAACATTCGAATATTAAGTCTTTCCTTCTTTAAATAAAATTTAGTTTATACATTTAATACATCCAACATATTATTTTCAACAAAAGCTCGTATCATTTAGTTCTCCATATATATATATATATATATATCCCTGAAGATACTGATCTCATAGCCTGGGAAAATATTTTGCAGACAGAGAGAGAGAAGTGCACACATGGCACATATATATTGGGACAATCTTTCAACCCCATTCCCATTAACAAAATCTTGTCTAAAAGGAATGTATGTGGGGAAACTTCTCTTTGATGTAATCACATTTAAAGATTATTTTTCCATTCATTGATTTTTGTTTCATGTCACAGCTAGAGTTCCCAGCGAGTTCATTATGTACACTACACGTAACTGAAAGCCATCACTATGTGACTAGTCTGACAGCAAGCTATCAGGAGCTCACCTGAAACACACAAGTTTTGATACTGTACACCAAGGAGGATGAACCAAGCTCTATTGCCTTACAGAACAGTGAGTATTTTAATACTGTTTGTTGTATGCTTATTAATTAGAGGGTCATAATTACAGATCCATTTTATTATGCACAAATAAATTATACATTTAGCTGTGACTCATCCAGTCTTTCCATATAATTTGACATATCACTTTACTCTCAAAATACCATCCAAATGGTGTCTTGCTTCTTTTTGGGCAAACTTCACTCCCTCTCACAATTGTCAAAGCAGGAGTTGTACTCTACTAAAATGACACACCAGATTAAGCAACCAATCTCCCATGCATCTTTGTAAGTGGATATAACAAAGCATTGAAACATCTGCCCCATGTGTCTTGGGCACAAACGGGAAGATAATAAATCTATGGTGATTTTGCTGAAAATATTAATGAGTTATTTCCCTTGGCAAAAAAAAGGCAAAAATATAGGCTAGCAACTGAACATTTTAAAATATAGTATACTTTTGTTAACATCTCTTAGAGATGTGTACACTAATAATGTTACACTGGCGAGTGGGTGGTGTGCAGACAGGGTAAAGCCAACCAGAGTAGAGACATAAAATAGAAGAACATCCCACATTTTAATAAGAAAAAACCCAACGGCCTGTCCTGTTAAATCAAATGCTAATTAAAGTTCTGTTAATTTAACTACTAATTAAAGTTCTGTTAATTTAACTTCTAATTAAAGGGGTCATTCATAAATGACGTCACGCTTTTTTGGACGATTTTTATCTCCCCCTCCCCTCAGTCACACATCATCACAAAAAGCCAGACCCCCCCCCCCCCCCTAAATTTACGTCACACTTCAGCCTACAAACCCCCCCCCCTCAAAATTGCAGTTGAATTTTTCTTAAAATACGATATTTTTCCAAAATTTGTCTAAACTTTGTCAACATAGAGTATTTCAATCAATTCCTATTACAATTTATTAACACAGTTTTCTAAAACGCGAAATAACGGCTAAAATTTGTTTTCTGACATTGCTTTTTTATAATGCCAAAGTGTGACGTTACACCATCGGACCCCCCTCCTTCCCCTCACTACACACCGTCACAAAATTACGGACCCCCCCCCCCCCCAGTTCCCTCAACGAGTGTGACATCATTTATGGACGATCCCTTGGGGTTAGTCTAAGAAAATAATGTTAATGATTTTCATCATAGCTGATATAAATAATTTTAACTTATTTAAATAATCATATTTTGTAGCACCTACGTGTTATGTAGGCATTTTTTTTTTACCTCAGACATTTTTTTTTGTTATGATAGAGGAAATAAACAACACGCACATTTCCTCTCAACCGTCAGATGCTATAAGAACAGTGTTTATGTCCTCTACATCCCGTTAGGGAATATACGCACCTTGCGTATTTGCTCTGTCGTTGATCACAATCTCAATCACTAACCCGACGCCGTTCGATAAAATACCCATAATGGGGTCATCCATAAATAACGTCACGCTTTTTTTTCTTTCGGACGATTTTTACCTCCCCACTCTTCCATCTTCACACATCGCCACAAAAAACCATACCCCACACCATAAAATTACGTTACACCTCAGCCAACGCAGTTGTTTTTTTAAGCATCGATTTCTTTTAAAAATTATTTTCTGCCAACATTGGGTAGCCTATAATAATCAATTTCTAATACAATTTAAAAAAAAAAAAAAAAAAAACCGGCTTGCCAAAAGCGCAAAATGCGGCAAAAACACGAGGGGGAGGGGGGGGGGGGGGTAGGTTAAAAAAGTGTGTCGTTACAATTCTTGAACCTACCCCCCCCCCCCCCCTCGCCACACATACTTTCAAAATTCCAAACCCCCATTCCCTCTCAGGGGTGTCACTTCGAGAATGGACGATGGCTAAAACACATTGTATAAAAACAAGAATTAAACTAAATGGAAATTTTTTTTTAACATTAATGACACAAACATTTATAGTTAAAGAAATGTTAGTATGCCTGGCCCATCCATATATACAAACAAACCGTCATTGCTTACATTATAACTTTACCTTTTAAAAAAATCAATTTAAACTAATTAAACTACGCATTGCAAAGTTTAATGGGTCCGTCACTTGTTTACCTATTATTTTACTGACAGCGGCGTACCACCTTTCTGTCAGGGTCGTATCGTTAGCCTCACGTTTCTCTCAAGGGCGTATCGTTAGTCTCACCTTTCGGTCAGCTTGATCCTAGGGCGCCTAGCTTGGTCCTAGGGCGCCTAGCTTGATTCTAGGGCGCCTAGCTTGATTCTAGGGCACCTAGCTTGGTCCTAGGGCTCCTAGCTTGATCCTAGGGCACCTAGCTTGGTCCTGTGGTGACTAACCTAGACCTAGCATAGTCCCATGGTTCGTACACGCCACTGTGGCGAACAGTGTTTCTTCCAGACTATTTTCTCCGGGGGTGCACTTGAATTTTTTTTTGGGTGGGGGGGGGGGGGGGGGGGCGGACACTGTTATAAGTATATATTTTCCATATAAATTCCATTTCGTTCGAAGAGATGCCTGGAAGAAACTCTGGTGGCGTAGCCTGGTCCTTCGGCGACTGTTCTAGTCTTATGGCGACTGTCGTAATCCCATGTGTCGGGCACGCCACTGATTGTTGTTGCACCGTGTCACATGATGAGGGTCAGGAAATACCGGATATAAACGGCGATCATTTCAAAATGAGAAATAGGCCTAAGGAACTTGCGAGTATAAACAGCGGTCATTTCTGAATGAGAAATACCTGATCGCTCTTAAAGCACCCAACTGACCCTGGCAGTGATGGGTAAGATTGTGTAATACTTTTATGTAGAGTTCGTACCATCATGTACTGTTACCTTTTTAGCTTTTACAAATCTTTGTTTTCTAAGCTTATCTCAAATGATATTTTTTTTAAATGTTTTTAATTACCTTATCGTTATCTCTTATAATCTTAAATTGTCTCACAATAAAAAAGAATTCACGGATACTTTACTTTGTGTAACGGTGCACGCTTCACAAGGTAAAGATTGTATTGTTATTGTCTTTTTAGTTTGAGACATGTTAGAAAGAGACTATGCGAAATTTAAATGATGTGGGCTTGTGATGATTGTCCTGAGTTGATTTTGTAGTACTGTAAACATCGCTTCATAACCAGAGGTGTAACCAGTTATCGGTAATTGTGGGGATATAAAACATAGAATTTTTTAAAATGAATTTTTTACTTAAGGGTACGCATTATCCCAAGTTCTCATATATATATATATATATATATATATATATATATATATATATATATATATATATATATATATATATATATATATATATATATATAATTTATTGATTAGTTTATAACCTTCTCTGCCTTCACAAGTGTTGATAAAACACTTGTCATAATCTGATTGAATGTCATTATAACAAGTATCGCGACCCTAAGCGTAGTTCTGGCCACATCCCCGAACTTACACACAATCTTAACATTAGCCCTGGCCATACCATTAATCCAGATTTTGACCCTGTCCTTAACCCTAAGGCTTAATCAAACGGTACGAGCTATACTGAAGGGGAAAAACACAAATTCAGTACCCTTCAGTACAGTTCTGCCGGTGTCCCCTATAAAAACCGTCTTATCAAAGTTATACAAGAAAACACAACATCAGGATACTTAATGATAATGTGTACTGGCGTCTAGCTCACCACACAATGACAACAAACCACGCAGCTTTTCAAACTCAAGTGTGTGTAGATAGATCAAGGACTAATCTAATTTTTGTGTGTGTTCATACAAAATCTAGGCCAAATTTCATAAGTTCAAAAAGCCAAGTTAAATTCATTTTGTGTTTACACAATCGCAGGCATATCTTTTCAGCAGAACATATAGATCTAGGTTAAGCAAACATCGGAACAGACATACCAAATTTAATTTTAAGACATAAGAGTAGTGTTTAAGAAATATGGTGTTCATTCAACACTTGGGACTTGCACCATTTTTATATGTGGGTATTTTTTTTTTTCGTTTTTATTTATCTGACGGAGATTTCACTTAAGAAAATATATATTCTTAGCACCTTAACTTAACCCTAATCGATAATGCTCGAAAGTAGTAACGTATATGTAGATTGATGAGCATTAGTGTACCTTGTTTAAGTACCATCGTGTATAGGGTGGGTCAGGTGGGGGAGGGGGTGTACAGCAGTGTTAACAAGTTTTGTGTTGCGAAGGTTTTGGGTTATGCAAGCCATTGGGTTATGAAAGTTTTGTAATACGGTTGTCTTGGGTAAAAAGTATTGGGTTAGGAAGTTTTTGGGTTAGGGTTGTCTTGTGTAAAAAGTGTTGGGTTAGGGTTGTCTTGGGTAAAAAGTGTTGGGTTAAGAAAGTTTTTGTATATTAAAGAGCATGGTATAAACGCTTTTGCTTAGCAACGCGTGACCTACCTAAACAAAAAGCATCGGTCAAAGGGGCCTAAGTTTGCTTCAGACGACGAAGCGAATTATTATTCATTTTTTAAAAGAAACATGTTTGCTTGGTGTTTACTATAGATATAGGTTGTTAAAGCCAACTTTGTTTTTACACGGTGCTTTTAGGCTTGAGTCTACGTTGGTTGATTTGAATCGAGTTGAGAACGACATTTGGGACCCAATCTGGTTGTAACTGGACAAGCCACGAAGTAATTAGCAATAGGCACAATTCGGCAAGGCTGTGTAATAGAACATGTAAACTGCAACAGGCATCATTCGACAAGGCTGTAAAAACAAAAACGAACATGTAAACAGCAACAACACTATCCGGCAGGGCTGTGTACTAGGTCTCATTAAGACTAAAAACCCACTCCAAAGAATAGCAATACGGTGCTCTATTATGGGATGACGTGGCTGGGCGATAGGAACGCACGACCTCTAACCCACAATTCTCGAGTTCGAACCCCGGACACGAGCTCATAGGACGTCCTTTACTCCACCCAGTACCCAGTACCACACTATCCCCCAATACGCCGTAGAAACAGGTGAGCTCTGTTTCACCTGTTTGGTTGTCTATCCTTGTGGTAAAATACAGCGATTTAGGTGTCGACGAGATGTTAACACCAACAACCCCATCTTTGAAACCAGCACTTATTTCTGGTGTTATAGTTGACTTTAGCGTCATCTTTAATCTTCCACCGCGTTCACACTTGCGACATGTATACCAAACATCTCTAGGAAAAAACTATTGATCTACTGTTATTAACTAGACTAAATAAATAAAATATCTCTTTTGGTTTGTTAGTCAACATTCAAGATCTTGATTTGCTTTTGAATATTTTTTTTGTGACGTTGGTTTCTCTTTTTAAGAGGTAGGGCGGGGGGCAAGTAGAACTTATGTAGATTTAGAGTTAGGCATCAAATAATCAAGTTGCGCTAGTTGTTTTTTTTTTCTAGAACATTAGGACGAGAATCCCTCGAACATATTGGTCTGTTTTGATATCACTAACGCCAGATTAATAATCGTCACTGTCAAGTTTAGGTTTTTTAATTTGTCGGTATGACTTTGACTTTGGTTCACAATCGATTTTTATAACTGCCTTTTGTATTAGTCATTATAGAAGTATGGGAGAACAAAATCATTAGCAAATGTCAGCATAATGTTGAAATTAATTATTGACGGCTGCCAGGTCATGACATTTAAATGTCACATCTCAGACGAACTGGTCCGGCTTCACGCGACACAATCTGCTTAAAAAAACTGTTCAAACTTATTTGATGCAAGCTTGTGATATTTTTTAAAAAAAACGGATTTGGATTGGAATTCCAACATGTGGGCTGTGTTATTACATTTGTTTAGTTCGTCTCTCGCGTCTGATTGTTTTCTGCATTAGATATAATAAAAATAAATTGTTATAAATTATATTGTGTAGTGAAAAAATTGTTTACATAACAAAGTAGAGACCCGATGAGTGTTAGGCGGTCATACACCAGACACCAACTAGGAAACATCACTCAGTCATAGAGCGTGAGAAACAGTTTAGAGTTATGTAACTTGAACTAGACTGGGCACGAGGAACCGGAAATGCTACTTTAGTCGCGGCTGTATTTGAAAATTTAATTAAAACCTTTAAACATGCAACTCCTCGAAGATTTTAGAGATGAAACAGGTAGATCTAGATCTAGAATTTTATTTGAAAAAAATAATAACCGTGAATGTAACTTAATTCCATAAACTATAAAAACTCAATTTTTTTATCAGGCTAGCTAAGCAGGTGCCTCATGGTGAGTTTGAGGCCCGGGTGACCGCGGGTATTTGGGTGACCAAAGTGCCCCAATTTATTTAAAGAACAAAGCGAAGGATAAGGGCAAGATTATTGTGGGCACTTGATATTTTCGGTAGGGGGAGGGGAACGTTGGTAAAGTAAATCTATATATTTTCAATATAAATTCCATTTCGTTCGGGAGGGGGTGGGTACTCTCACGAAGAGATGCCTGGAAGAAACACTGACCACTGGTGATCCACGACAGAGAAAATACGCAAGGTGATTATAGTTATATCCTCTCACGGGCTGTAGAGGACATAAACTAAAAAAAACACTGTTCTTATATCATCTCACGGTTGAGAGGATATGAACGTGTTATTTATTTCCTGTATAATAACAAGAAAATGCCTGAGGTAAAAAAAATGCCCACATAACTCGTAGGTGCTACAAAATTCAAAATACACATATTTAAATAATAAGTTAAAATTCTTAATATCAGCTATGGTGAAAATCATTATCACTATTGTCTTAGAGACTAACCCCAAGGGGTCGTCCATAAATGACGGCACACTCGTAATTTTGTGACGATGTATAATGAGGGGGAGGTTCAGATGGGGGGAGGGGTGGGGGCTGTAGACTTTCTGGTTTGTAATCAAGCTTGGCTTGAATTAGGGTATAGCAGTATAGGGTTAGGTTGTTTCATAGGCAGGAATATGTTAAGGGTGAGGTTGCTTTAAAAAGTCCGTTATATATATATATATATATATATATATATATATATATATATATATATATCGTGCGGCGTCAATTCGGCCAATGACGAAACGGCCCCGTCAAAACGACCCCGACAAAACGACCCCGTCAGATCGGCCCCGTCAAAAGGGCCAGCGACATATGGACCCCGTCATATAGGCTCCCGACAAATAGGCTCCCGTCATTTAGGCTACCGACAAATAGGCTCCCGTTATATAGGCTCCCGACAAAAGGGCTCCAGTCAATAAGGCTCCTGACAAATAGGCTCCCGTCATTTTGGCTCCCGACATATAGTCTCCCGTCATTTAGTTTTTTCCACAAAACGGCCCCCGTCATTACGACTACCGACAAATAGGCTCCCGCCATTTAGTTTCTCCACAAAACGGCCCCCGTCATTACGACTCCCGACAAATAGGCTAGCGTCATTTTGGCTCCCGACAAAAAGGCTCCTGTCAATTTGGCTCCAGAAAAAAGGACCACTGACACAGTGGCGTAGCTACCGTAAAGCTAGCGTAAGCAAGGCATGGGGGCCCAAGGCACATAGGGGCCCTTTTCCCTCATAAAAAATTAAAACTTTTACAATGGAATTTTAATATTTGTTACATATAAATAATTTTAAAAAAGAAAAAGGTTAAAAGTTCCCAGTGGGGGGGGGGGGTGTTTCGGCAGTGGGATTCAGTGTTTGTGGGTCAAACAGAGCCCAATCGTTATAATAACACTACAGGCTATATCACTTTGTCGTGCAAGACATTGAGAGAATCAGCCTATAAGTAAACTTTTTAGCAGTAGTAGGCAAGCATAATAATATAGTATAAATACAAAATCAGGACATATAAAATACAAAATGTTGCCTTCAGAATATTTATATATTAAAAAATATCCATCGTAAGTAGAAGTTGATCTCTTCGTTTAACTCCTCTGTAGCCTAACGCAGAGGCGTAGCGAAGGCGAGGCGGGGGGTGCGGACCGCAACGGGTGACACCATTTAGGGGGGGGGGGTGACACCAAAGGCAAAAAATTGTAACATTTATAGAATGAAATGCCATTTTCCAGATCCATTAGTTAAAGTTAAATAGTCTTCTAAGAACAAATCGAAAATTTTATCAAGAGGGGGGAGGGGGGGGGGGTGTGACACCACGACGTAAACGTAAACTATAAAGAAAACAATGCTACATCCAACTGTATTATAAACAGACTGTAGATAAACATTGTAACTATTAAGTCTGCAGTGATTAAAGCTTATACACGTACGTGTACCAGTATGTGGCATATATATAAATTTTAGACCTATGTAGGCCGACACACACACACACACACACACACATATATATATATATATATATATATATATATATATATATATATATATATATATATGCTTTGTTTCCTGGGAGGGGGTGACAATACGAAGTGCCGCACCGGGTGAGACCCGACCTAGCGACGCCACTGGCCTAACGGCTGACGAAGGGGCCCACTGATAATTTTTGCATAGGGGCCCAAAAATCCTAGCTACGCCACTGCACTGACAATACCGTTTCTGTAGAGACTAAGTCTCCCGGCAAAGCGGTCTCATTGAATATGACATCTGCCAGTGGGACCCCTTCATCAATATTCTTTAGAGTTAGCTTATCCAACACTCTTATGTAATACAACGTATGCATCTCTTGTTCGGCAGGCCTTATTTTTATATTAGTTTATCTATTATAAAATATAGTATGTTTTAATTTAAGGGTCATCTATCTATGACATCCATAATTGAGTCGGTTATAGGCTGTTCCAACTCATTGTGTGGGAAGAAGGGTCCACGCTGTACCTTCCTAACTGCAATATGCTTGTACAGGGGCGTAGCGAGGGGGGGGGGGGGGCGGGGGGTGCGGACCGCACCGGGTGACACCATTTAGGGGGGTGACACAAAGGCAAAAAATAGCAAAATATATAGAGAAAAAGTTGAGGGGGTGGGGGTGCAAATCGAAAGTTGGGGGGGGGGGGTGCAAATCGAAAACTTGAAAGTTTGTCCCCGGGAAGGGTCGCAACGCCTCTGGGGGGGGAGGGACGACACCATTAAGTGCCGCACCGGGTGACACCCGACCTCGCTACGCCACTGTGCTTGTAGGTTATCAAAACAAAATGCTGTTATCATGTTAACATCATGTATATCATACATTTACACTTCTGTGCTCGCTTTTAAGCAACAGATCTTTTCTGTTGTAAATTAAACATTATCAAAACTTTAGAATTGGTAGAATTTAGCTGTTAAGGGCTCGATTTGTTTGTGAATTAATGTTGGTTCATGAAAAAATAATTTCATTCGGGCATTAAAAAGAGGTTATGGTGGTATTGGAGGTAGGACACAATGGTTACTTTTATGCCAATAGTGGTCATATCATTCATTTTTCTGGAGCCAATATGTCGGGAGTCATTTTGTCAAAAGCCTATATGTCGGGAGCCCAATTGCCGGGAGCCAATATGTCGGGAGCCCATTTGTCGGTAGCCAAAATGTCGTGAGCCCATTTGCCGGGAGCCCATTTGTCTTTAGCCCTTATGTCGGGAGCCGCTTTGTCGGGAGCCGCTTTGTCGGGAGCCAATATGTCCTGAGCCTATTTGTCAGGGGTTAATATGTCGGGAGTCCATTTGTCGGGAGCCTAAATATCGGGAGCCCATTTGTCGGGAGCCTATAAGTCGCAAGTCAATATGACGGGAGCCCATTTGACGGGAGCCAATAAGTCGGGGCCCTTTTGACGGGGCTATTTTGACGGGGTCGGTTTGTCGGGAGTCGATTTGACGGGGTCGTATTAACGGGGCCGTTTTGACGGGGCCGATTTGTCCCGGGCCGTCTTGACAGGGCACCATATATATATATATATATATATATATATATATATATATATATTACGTTATAGCGCTTATGGTAATATAAACTTGTTTTTATTACTTTCGAAACTTGAAAACTCACATGAAGCTTCGCCACTCGCTGTTATTTAATTAAAACATTTTGGGGGTCCTCATACCCCTCTATACATATGCCCTTGGGGCATTTACTGACTTACACTCATGTATATTAATAAGATAATTTCGTGACCGATCTTAGGCATGACACTATTATAGTTACTGTTAAAAATTATCACTTATATTACTGTACAACAGACGTGGATTATCTGTGTCCAAGCGGCCTCCCCTCCCGGCTAAAATTTTCATTGTGCATTTTTCCCATTAAACCCTGTGGTCCGTGATGCTTACAAAGTCACAATTCATTTAACAATTTCAATTTACAAATACAATATCAAAACGACGAACCGGGAGGGTTAATTAAAATAAACACAATTAAAATTAAAATCATTGCACTAATATTATAGGCCCATTAGAGCACTGATGCGGATTTTTTTCCTCGAAGCTCACTGTTATTTTTTCCCGGTGTCCCAGTCCAGGCCTTCTCATTTGTTTACATGAGTTTATATGTTCCCATTTTCCTAAATTACCGACAGTTTTCTTTTTATTACTAAGTCGTTCTAATGCGCTTTGTTAAGTGTGGGTCGCACTTTTAGTTTTAGCATGCGATACATCAGGTCTAACATTGTCCAGTAGATGTTGTAAAACACTTTTTTTTCCGTTTCTCATCAAACAACTTGATGTTGTTATAAGTAGATGGGTGAACGTGCAATGGTAATACGGGATTATTTTCATCTCGTTTTAACGGTTTTTAACGTGTTGTTATCACACAACGATCGTCATTTAATGTGGCTACCGGTCTAGAATTTAGTAGAATTTAAAGCTTCATGGTAATAAGTAGAGTGTTTTTAGCTCAACGTTTTGTAAGTTGTGTTTACACTTCTTTCGAATAAAAACTAAGAGGCAGATTTAATTCTTTTTTCAAGCCAGCGACAGCATTTTTTTTTTAAACCGAGTATTACAAAAACTGGATATTTTAAATCATAGCTCAGTTCTGCTTTTATACCGCTAACCGATAAACCGAATCCCCCCCCCCCCCCCCCCCTCCCCCGTTCCATAATTTTAAAAAAAGTCCAGCGTTCATTTTCAAGACAGATGAGAAAGAATGCTGCAGCTTTTACAATAGAATAAACGATGGTTTAATGTTTTGTTTTTTAATTAAAGGTCGTCTATAAATCAACTGTTGTCAGGCACTAGAAGTCAATACTTATCCCTTACAACTCCCGCCTGTCCTGCCTAGCGTCACAAAAAGCCTTGCTCAAATGTTGTAAAGTAACCCCCCCTCCCCCGTCTAATCATTGCTTTAAACAACCATAATTCCAATGATAATTAAATGTACACAAGTAAACTAAGAGGTTACTACCGCTCTTCCATTAAATGACGACACACAACAAGATGGGGGGGGGGGGAGGTTAGGATGAGGATGTGTGATGAGAAGTATATATTTTTATTTTTTAGAACAAGTTTGATGAAATCTAGTTACGTAAATTCATGCTTTGTAAAAAAAAAAAGGATGCGCGGAACTTGTGTGACGTCATTTTTGTGTATTAAGTCTTGCTTTTGGCAACGACGTATATGACCATGGAAGGGGGGAGGGGGGGTGGTAAACGTAGGCTAATTTAGGATGACGTCATTCAAGGAGTACTTCTTCCATTGTTGGGGGAAACAAAAAGGCAGTGTACACAACTGGTAAACGGCGATCGTTAAAGAAAACCATTATGCCATTGGTAGTTAAGTTAGGAGATTATGAAAAACCAACAATCGCGCTGTTCCTTTAAATTTTTAGCTTTTGTGTTTTCATTTTCATTTACCACATTTTATTAAGTCTTTGTAAATATATTACATATCATTTTTTTAAAAAGACGAATTGCTTATTTTATATGCCTATTTGAAATAATATCATTTCTTGTTATATAAAGACCTACTAGACACTAGTTCTAGAAACTATACTAGAATGAAAACAAGATTTATGTAACTTTGCATGTTGTTCTAGATAACTGGAATCTAACAGCCACTCCTGCAGTAACGATGGCTAGCTTTTGGCAGCAGCTGAAAGCCTTGTTATGGCGGAATATTTTACTTAAAAAAAGAAAAAAGTCCATGCTTTTTCAGGTAAATGACAATAATGAATATGCAATTATATCAAACTATAAAGCTTTAGTCTGAAGTAAATGTAAGTCTTTAAAATGAAGTTTTAAAACATAAATGTTGCAAAAATATTTTACATTAACCTGTAATTAATAATCTTGTTAAATTTCCACTTAGAGGTAATTTTGTGTGTAAGTTCTTTATATGTTTGCAGCCATTTGATAAAATTTTAATATGAATATCTTTTATCCAAATATTTCAGGAATTTTTCTATCCTGTGTATTTTGTTGCGATCCTTGCCATTGTGAAAATAGCAACCAAACCAGATGTAAAGCCAGCCATGACTTTTCCTGTCAACAACCTTTCAGACCTATGGTTTAATTATGTATTTCATTTGAAACATGACATCTATGTTGTACCAAAAACAGCGGAGGTAACTACAGTACATAACATGATCATTTACAGGCCGATTTCTATTTGAAATATTTTTGGTTAAAACGTATGGGCGTTTGCCATCGTTGAGAATAATATATTAAATTCTCCAACCAAAATATTTCCAGCAAAACACATAAGGATTGGAGAAGGAAATATTTAATGAAAAAATTACATGGTCTTGGGAATTTTATCAATGAATTAAAAAATACCTGGTCAGGTTGCATGGGGGGGGGGGAGAGGCCTGATGAATGAGAATTGAAATTGAATACATTTTTCCAAGCACAAGTATATTTAAAAATATGTTAGCAATGGGTAATCTGCTCAAGGCAAAATGATTAACTGATTTTTTTTTGTCAACCAAATTAGCATGTTCAAAATTAACATTTAATAGCAGATTTAAGTTAAAAGTGTAATTATTGTCTGCTTTAAGCCATTAATTTATACCATAGCCTGGAATAATTTCATTATATATATATATATATATATATATAATTTCATTATATATATATATAATTTCATTATATATATATATATTCTTATATTATATCTACTGAATTATTTTTAAAAAGTATTTTATGCTGTTTTAATTGAACAACTATGAGAGCTATTTCCATGAAAATGAAATTTGCTACAGGTAAAAAACTGGATGGATGACATAGTTAATCAGCTGTCTGGAAGTTTGAGGTACCAAATGTTTGCAACTGTAGAAGAGGCTGAGACTGCATTCAGACACAATAGCTCCAGTGTTTTAGCTGGAATTATTTTCAACTATAAAAATAACAAATACTCGTATGCCCTGAGGGTTGGCTATCATGATATCCCTGGTACCAATAACATCTACCATTATAAAGGAGGTAAAAGAATTTTGTACATTTCCTTGTTAATTGTTTCTCCTAGAAAGTTTTTTTTTGTTATTTATTAAAAATTAAAAAAAACACGACTAGCCTTAGAATTATTTAAGGCTAGTCGTGTTTTTTTAAAATTATTATTGAAGTTTAGATGTGTATCTACAAATATTTTACATGACAACATTTCCATGTTAGTGACATCATTTAACTATAGTATTGATTAATTAAATATAAGAGTTTAAGTAGTAAGACTTGTGCATCTAATAAGTTTTTCCTAGTTTGTGAATTAAAGTAATTGTATCAACCACCTGCTTCTAAAAGTTAAAATATTTTAACTAGATTCCTGTCGCAATTCTAAAACTGGTACAGACGTAAGCTCTGACTGCCCTGTTAACAACTATCTAGCCACAGGATTTGTAACATTGCAAGTGGCCATAGAAAATGTTTTAATGAAGGTAAATCATTAAATTTGTTGATTTGTGTGAGATGATTTTGAAAACTGACAACTATGTGAGCTGATTAGAGGAATGAAACTCAAAACTAAACTCTTTGAGCAGACTGTTTCATTGTCTGCTAAGTTAAGTTACCCTTTTAAACCTGGCGGTCTATGGGACAGTTGAAATAGATTTCACCTGTTTCAGTGACCTTAGGAATAGTTTGATAAGTACTTTGCTCAATTGCTTTGACTTTCCTTATTTGAGTGAAATGAAGTACCCATCAGAACTGTTTGAATCAGGGATTTGAGACAGAAATAATTATGCTTTAGGAAACAGCTCAACTGTAAAAGTTTATTATATTTTATGTTTAAATTTATCTGTAAATTAGACTGAAACCAAAAAGATGTCTCTTAATTGAAAGGAAACTTTACTTAGCCACACACCTTTCTCACTTCTGTTTATCCTAAATCATCACATGAAACTAAATTTTAAATTTAAAGTCCACAGTTTTATCACTTACTTAAAGCCCACATGAGTAGTATTTAGTAGCCATAATGTATTAAAATTATGTCATTGCCTAAAGTATATACTTTTAATTTTGTTCCCAGAATGCAGGCCTTACATCCTTTGATTTTAAATCACGAGTAATTCAACTTCAACTCATGGACAAGGTCAAGTTTAACCCAGACACGAGTTACATCCAAACCTTATCCTCCATCTACTTTGTTTTCTCCTTCTCTATACTAGCCAACTTTCTGGCTGTAAATATTGTGGCAGAGAAGGAAAAGAAAATCAAAGAAGGAATGCTAATGATGGGCTTGAGAACTTCAGTATTTTGGTGAGTTCCTGTTGCTCTTTGGCACTCAAATTCATTGTATATGCTTGAGGTCCATGTTGCGTCCCTGAATACAACTGACTATGGTGGGTACTGTTACTGTGTTTTTTTTAAAACTATGAGTCTTTAAATCTTGAGTCTGGATCTCTGACTCAAGTTTGTAGGACATTTCTTAGACCACCCAGCTCGGATGGGTATGCTTACTTCACTTACGTTAGGGAAAGTAATGGGACCTGAGAATAGTGCTGACCTCACTATCACTTCATATCCAGTGGTCAAGAAACGGGTAAGCTGTTCTTCATCTACCCAATGGACCGTCATGATCAAATTGAGAGTTTTATTTATGTTGACTAAAAATTATTGTGTGTGTTTTTTATTTTAGGTTATCTTGGGCTCTAATATACCTAGTCATGGTCCTCCTGGCTTCTGCGCTGATGATTGCTCTTATAGTCGGCTGCGAGTTTTTTCAAAGGAGCAACATGTTCCTTCTATACCTGGTCTTTTTCTTGTATGGATGCTCAATCATTGCCCTGGCATTCATGTTGACCCCATTTTTCAAGAAAGCCAAAGTGGCCGGGGTTGTGACAGGTTTCTCCACTGTGATCATTAGCTGTTTACACCTGGTTGTCAGCCAAACGAGAGATCCCAGTAGCTATGATTCTAAGCTGTCACCTGGGGTTGAATGGCTGATGTGCTTGTTGTCTCCCTTGGCATTTTCTTCTATTATAGATAAGGTAAGCATCTTCAAAGTATTAAGAAGTTTCATAATTAAACAATGAGCTATTTGTATAATCTAAACTATTCAAGTTTCTGAATAAATAGAAAATTTGGCATATTTCAGACAGTGTTAATCATTTCCATTGTCTTTAAACAATAGAAAAAGTAGGTTGTTATAAATTTGTTTTTTGACGATCACAAATATGAATAATTTACTTTAGAATTTTAGTCTTTTTAAGATTAAAAAAATAAAGGTGCCTTTCTCAATTGGAGCTACATTCCATCACCAGTGTATATTATATGTTTTTAAATAGAATTGTTCCATTTGTTTTAGGGAATTTTCCTGGACATTCAATACAATGGATTTGGTTTTGATGACTCTTTAACTTTTGGAAAATTTCCTCTCTATGCCCCTATCTTGATGCTCATTGTGGACACCATTCTTTATTCACTGTTAACAGTTTATTTTGACAACGTTATTCCAGGTAGGTAATTAGTTTTTCCCTATATTTGTTAGTGGAGTTTTTATTCAAACTGTCTAGAAATAAAGATAAAAAATTATCGGATGCTAAATTAATGATTCTGTTTTTACAACACCAATCACAGAAACAAGCAAACTTCTGATCCAAATCAGTAAAAACTAAGTTTTTTTGCTATTCCAGGTGAATATGGAGTGAGATACTCACCTTTTTACTTCCTCGAGGCCTCCTACTGGTGCTCATCTACTATTAAAGAGGAGTCACTCAGACTTATAAGTGCGTCAGAGAGCAGATTGGAAAAGTCAGATGTGGAACCTGTTTCTAAAGAGATGGAAATGAAAGTTGGCCTAAGGTGATCCAGCATTTACTCATGGAATTTTTGGTTGTTTTTAAATACATTTTCTTCATTGAGTTTGAAAATTCATAAATGTTGTATATTTTTTTCTTTTCAGAATTTCCTCCTTGACCAAATCCTTTGTGCAGAACAAAAAGACTGTGAAGGCTGTAAATGGCAAGTTTGTTGTTTAACATTTTAAGTATTAACCTATTTGGGAGTGCAGTAGGGTTGATGTGTAGAACATATTTAGTTTCTGATATATATTGAACTACATTTATTTCGTCATTTTATTTAAGTTACAAAAAGTACTTTTTTAAAATATAGATCTTTTAGAATATTGTCAAATATTAAATTTTTATTCATTCATTTAATGAATTTTGAAACTTGAGTATATCTAAAGATTGTGTTTTCTCTATATTTGTCCACATTTATTGTAATACAACTTTAAAACTAGACAGTTTGACTACTTCTTCTGTTTCTTATTATTAATAAGCAAAAGCATAATATTTTTAAGAATTTGCCTTTTACTTTAGATTTTAGTTTAGACATATTTGAAAGTCAAATTACGTGTCTCTTGGGTCATAATGGAGCAGGAAAAACTACTCTTATTAACATGTTGACGGGAGTAGTGCCCCCTACATCAGGAACTGCAACAATAATGGGCTTGGTAAAAATTAACTTTTTATTACAATAAATGTTTAAAAAATGTTTCCATATTTTCAAATCCAATGAATCCGTTTCTCTATCATTTTAACTTGTTTAAATGATTGAGGAACTTGTTTTTTTTAAAAGTTATGTAAGTAAATTAAAGGATTTATTGCATTACTTTATTGCCAGAACATTACAGACAATAAACAACTAGAGTATATAAGAAATCTTTGTGGCATATGCCCTCAGCATAACATTCTTTATGATGATTTGTCATGTGCTGAACATTTAAAGATGTTTGCCAACATCAAAGGAGTTCCTGAACATCTAATCAACAAACGAGTAAGTATTTAAGATTTAACTTTTTGAAGCTTTGTACAAAGCTTTTAAAAAATTTCATATTTTCTAGACTTTTTATAGATTTTTAAATTTTATTTCCACAATTATATATCATTAATCTGTATATTATCAATTTAACATTAACATATTATTTTAAAATATTTTTCTTGTAGATTGAGTCAGCTTTGAAGGAAGTAGATTTGTCTGACCAGGCTCACACATTTGCAAAAAATCTCAGTGGAGGCCAAAAGAGGAAACTCTCAGTTGCTATTGCATTGATTGGTGATCCAAAAGTGAGACCCTTCCATTATTATTTCTAAAATTTGATTAAAATAACAAAAAAGACTCTCTTTTTTGAAAAATTGATAGTGTTTTTATTTTTTAAAAAACAAATTTTTGCAAGTTTTGCCTTATATTGTAAGAAATGTTGTTTTCCTTATATATAGTAGAAAACTGAGTTTTATTATTAACTACCTTTTTTAAAATAATTAAATGTTCAATTCATCAATACAAAAGAACAAATAAATATATTTCATTTAGGCACTATTTTTATGTTGTCTCACATAAACAATTTTTAAGGCTGAATTTGATCAATTAGTGGGTACGATTTAACACTTAAATTAGGATAATTTAAGTAGCTTTTATCATATTATACATATTTGTAATGCTTAATTGTTCATTCATATACATATTAAGGCTAGTTTTGGCACCTGTTTCAGTTTTTTTGTTGTGCCATGGGGAATTTCAGTTTTGACCTAATTTATAAAATATATTTATTTCGTGTTATTAAGTCACATTACTTATTGCTAGAAAATTTCTATTTTAAAATAATTTTTTTTTGTTCTTTTGCATTTTTCTCAAAATGATAAATGTCACTCTTAAAATTGTTAGCAGTTAGTTCTGCTTGTACCTTAATAAATTTTTACCTGATTATTTTTTAGATATATACACATAAACTTTTTATTTTCATTTTTACTTTCTCGTATATACGAAGTATAGAGAAAGTCTTGTAATCGTGCAAAAAAAAAAATCGAGATTTTTGCAAATCTCGACGTTTTACATCTCACTGATACGGAAAAACATAATTTTGCAATCTTGTCCGTATGTCTGTGTGTGTGTGTGTGTGTGTGTGTGTGTGTCCGTGTGTAAACACGATAACTTGAGTACCGTTACAGCTAGGTTGATGAAATTTCATATACAAGTATTTTATCAAAATCGTAGATCCGTATCAGCTTTTGAGCGATTTCGGATAACCGGAAGTGGTACTTTTTCTACTTTGAATTTTTCAAAAGCCTATAACTTGAGTACTATTTCAGATAGATAAATGAAATTTGATATGTAAGTAAAAGATCTAATTCTCTACCTTCTGTCAAATTTTGAGAATTTTTCGTTGACCGGAAGTACTTATTTACGCTACTTCCGATTTCTCAAAAAACTAATGTAAATTTTAAAAGTACTAATAATATTGCGCACTATTATGCGCTTTTTTATTCGCGTTCACTTGGTGTGCAATTAATTTGTCTACGAGATTTTATTCTATTTTTAAAACTTTAAGTATTTAAAATGGATTAAAAATCATGTCTAGAAGTCTATAGCCCGAGTTCCCATCCCCTGTTATTTTATATAAGAATATTCGAGAAAGTTTAGGGGAGATCACTCCCGGTTTATTTATAAATAACATTTGTTAACTTTGATTTTGTAGCCTGAAATATGCTAATTTTGACCAAATTTTAGTGAAAAACAGATTGTAAAAAGCTGTTTGCATTGCTTTTCTTAAAATGTGCAAAATAGAAAGTTTTAGGTTACTATTATCCTACATAATGCTTGCATTTTTTGTTGGTCTAGCACTTATGGTTATAGAGCCTTAGCATTTTAAAAATGATGAACAAAATTTCAAGATGGCGGCCATTACCATGAAAGCTACAAAAAAATATAGTTTATTGTTTTTAAAAAAATTCCTTTTGGTATATTTTTATATGGGAAAAGTTTCAATTAACTTGCTTGAATAGTAACAAAAATGTGCATTTAGTGTACCACCCAGCCTTAAAAAGAAGAAAATAGCTGGTTAAAGTAAGGCTGAAATGTATATATTTCATTGTATTGGGTACAATGTCATAAATAAGTCAAATAATCATAATGTAACTTAAAAAATAAGTGGAGTATTTTTTTTAAAGTTGATGTTCCTGGATGAACCAACTGCAGGCATGGATCCCTTCTCTCGTAGACACCTTTGGTCTCTTTTAAAAAAGAAAAAAGAAGGCAGAGTTATTCTTCTGACCACCCACTTTATGGATGAGGCAGACATCTTATCAGGTAAACTCTTAGTCAAAGTGTTGAGAGCTAATTGTAAATAAGATAAAAAAAAAATTGCTAAATATTTAAATGAAAATATTACTTATGAAACAGTAGCAAACTAATCATTACGACACCCTATTAAATTGGCTTTCATGAAAATATAAAAAACAATTTCCTTGTTTCCATATTCATGTATAAATTTAGATATATTTATATTGATATATAATTGAATAATCCTATTAAGCGTGCTGATCATTTTACTTTACATTCTATTTATGCTCTGTAGACAGAAAAGCTTTTATCCGCAATGGAAAACTACGCTGCTGTGGATCCTCCATGTTTTTGAAGAAAAAATTTGGTATAGGCTATCATCTCACGTATGTATCTCATGTTTTTTTAAGGCAAATTTAATGTATGTGATTGAAATTTTGTATCACTAAAATTACAGTAAATAAGTAAAAAAAATTCAATATTTTTTCCTTACGTATAGTCAAGCACTTTTAAAAATAATCTTGACATTGGATCAATTATTTTATCTATGTAAAACATTCTTGTTTAGGAATGAATCGAGCCTTCTGTAGCTATGAAAACTTGATTTTCTCTTTAGGATGGTTACAACCCCTGAATGTCAAGTTGATGAAGTTACATCAATGCTGACTTCTGTAATACCCAGCACAAAACACCAAAGAACTCATGGGAAAGAAATCGCTTACACTATGTCACTTAACGATGTGCCTACATTTTCAAGTAAGATTTGTTAGCAATCTAAAAAATTATTTGTTCTAACGAATGGTCTTCTCTATTTTCTTTTCCTGGTTTGATCCTTAATACATGGCCCATCTAGCACCATCTTTTTAAATTACTTCTTAAACAGCTTCAATATCTATTAGTGACCCAATGGGGGCCCATTATCTAATGCAGACTCTTAGTTTAGAAGGATGCTTAGGACATTACTTTTGAAACGTCTACATTTTGTCTTTGATGAGATTTTCTTCATTCACCATGTTTTTTGCATGTTTGCATGGTGCTTTTTAATTTCAGAATTGACAGTGCTGTCTTAATATACTATAATCAAGTAACTAATTTGTCAATTGTTTGTTTTAAATTGAGTAATAGATTTATTCTCTAACACTGTGCTTGTGGTTTTCATCTGTTATTAAACTCAAACAAACAGATCCATCTTGAGTATAAGATGATTTAATTTTTGTGTCCATAATTTTTTTGAAAATTTTCTGGTGAAAATCAACATCAAATAATAGTTATCACTTAACTTTTCTTAAGTTTAATTAAATAATTATTTTGTCATTATTTTACCATTTCTAAATCTTTGCACCAACCTTTTTCTACAGCCATGTTTGATGTAATAGACAGAAATGCTGTGAACTTGGGCATTGAAGGCTATGGTGTCTCCATGACAACATTAGAAGAGGTCTTCTTAAACCTAGGTAAATGTCCTGCTATTTTAGAGAAGTTTGACCTAAAGTAACCAGTAACTGTATGACCCTAAACATTTTCTGTTATGAATTACAACATATCGTGACTACAATTAATTCTGCTTAATCTGGACACATACAGACTGAAACATACTGATATATTTCAGCAGATGTTCCTGAATATGCGAGGTTTAGAAAAATACTTCTGTCCAGATTAGCTGTTTAAAATTTGGTACAAATGAATAGGTGCTTCAATAAATCAGTCCTGATAAAGCAAAATTGATTGTAGAATGTATCTTTAATCCGTCAATCATCCAATAACAGAGGTTGATATTTGTTCTCTTTTTTTTTTTGCAATCATTCTCAGTCTTCTGCTGATTAAACTAAATGTATCTTATTTAAATAAAAATTAAGTGTTCTAAAATCATTCAGCTGTAATATACAACATTTGCTAATATTACTTGGTGCAGAGTCGGATGAATTTATTGAGCAAGATGAAGATGATATGGCCCAAGTGAATCTCAGTTACAACCTGGCTGAAGATGCCACAGAAGTTAACATACAAAGCCCTGACAATATTGACTTCCAGAACTTCAAACCAACTGTACAAGGTGCTACTTTATCTTTACAAAGATTCAAGGCATTGATGAAGGTACTAATACAATAATTATTTTATTTATGTATAGAAATAATGACTTCCTTTGCTGCACTGCATATTTCAGATTTTAAATGTTCTTTAACCTTGAAAGATTAATATCAACAGCAAAAGACAAAATTGTATGCATCAGCTACTGTTTTTATGTTTCCTTTTATTAATTATTTAATTTTTACAAATAGATGTTAAGCTTGCAATCTATATTTTCCTAACTTATTCTTTAAAAGTTTATCTACTAATTTTCTATAAAATTATAATCAATTCACTAAATTAAATAATTACTTTTAATAATGCTTTTCTTTAAATATAGTTACTTATTTCTACTATCATACGTAACAACCATGCATTAAAAACATAAAACTCATTAGTTCTGAGTAACATTTGAAAATTAGAGCTAATTTCATTTAAATTTCTCTGTAACAAATTTATTTACATGTTGATATAAGGCATTGGCAAAAACACATGTGTAAGAAATAACAGTGTAAATGTTTATATATAAAAAATAAATAATTTTCACCCATTAATATAAATAACTTTTGTTCCAATATTTATCAGTCTTTGGGTTAATAGTTCACATTTCATTGTACCAATGTAATTAACATTTTTTTTTGTTTTGATGTATTTAACATTATTTGGTCCACTGTAATTAACATAATTTTTGGTCTGCATTATTTAAAACTGCTTTAGTACATTAATTAACATCGTTTTAGTCTATTAGTTAATATTTTTTAGTCTATTAATTAACATTGTTTTGGTCCACAGATTCGCTTCCTTCTAGTCATTCGCAGTGTGTATTCTCTCATCTTTCAAATAATATTACCTGTGTTGTTTGTGGTCATTGGTTTGGTCCTGGCAAAAGTGAACAATGTGACCCCAGCAGAGTACCCCACACCTTTACAACTGAACACATCACACTATGCCAGTTCTTTAGGTGACACTACTCACCTACCAGGGCTGTTGGCTTATGATGCTGTTGGTAAGTGAATTGTTTATCTTTAATATACAATGTTCGCTATGTCACTGTGAAACCTTGACAACTACATTATTATAACTTCTTATGCCTGAAATAATAGTTGTAATTCAATGCTTTAATGGGTAGAGTGCACAATTGCTAACTTGGCGCAAGTCTCAAGTTCTGTAGGAACCAGCTCTGTACCCGACTTGAGTCTTGGAAACTAGAGGGAACTCGGAATAGTGCTGATCACACTATTCCTTCATATTTCAAACAGAATATATAAAGTGCCCTATAGATAAACTGGTCTGAATAGGGTGGGGAAATTCAAATAATCATTTCCCGTTCTTGCCCAAGACACATGAGGCAGATGAAGTAGAGCTCATCTTCAGAGACCTTGGCATAAGAAGGGATAGAGTGGTTGCCCTATGCCCACCCACCTTTATTTCCCTAATGTAAGTTAGGTACCCATCAGAGTTGGGTGGACTCAGGGATGTTCCACTGATTTGAACCCGGATTCGAACTCAAGCCTCGGGTTAGCAGTCTAGTTCTCTAATGCTAGGCCACACCGTCCCATACTCAAGAAATGTTATGCAGAATTTATTCTGTATTTTATGTTTTTTTTAAGAACAAAATTGGTTAACTTTTAAAAATGATTTTGATGTTTAAATTAAGATTTGTTGAGGGTGAGGGTAGTGGACAGAACTTTGTGACATTATTTTGTGGGGTGGGGTCGAGGGTTAGGTGACATAGGTCTATAGGGTTTATTGATTTAATTTCAATTTCAGTTTATTCAATTTATTCAATAATGGTAACAATAGTAGGCACAGAGGCCTTTTTTCACATTGGCCGTTTTAAAATAAACAAATAAAACAAAAATGTAATAACAGCATTTAAAAAAGCAATTGCATAGTAAAGACATAGTAGTAACATACCTCTAAAAAATGTGGAATAAAGAAGTAATATTACATAGTTATAATACAAAATGAGATAAAATAAGAATATAATAGATAATGAGAAATGTTGCAATGAGTCAGTTAGATAGGTCATTAAATAATTATTGTTTTAGTTTAGTTTTGAATATATTTTCAGATCTAGATAGTTTTATTTTATTAGGAAGATTGTTCCACAAATTAGAACCAGAGTAGGTTAAGCTATGTTTTTGGAAAAAAGTTGTATATGGGATCGGTAAACTAAGACGACGATTTAATTTTGTGTTAAAAGTAAATAGGTCTGTGACGTCTTTTATTAAAGACTTAAATAGACAATAATGCTTGATACATCACATCATTCAACAGACATTAAAAAATGGTTACTCACTGTCAATTATATGGAGCAATATTTCTTTCTCTAGTTTTAAAATTTTTTTCACAGAAACCCTTTAATTGTATTGTATCTGATTTGCATTTTCACAATCTTTCCTTAGATTCAGCAAACTCAAAGTATTTGATAGATGACTGGAAATCATATCTAGCAGTTGACAGCTATCCAGCTAAGACCAAAAATACATCAGCTGTGGCACCACATTTCTTGGGTCTTCAGATTAACTCTCTCACACAAAAGGTACTCCTTCTTCTGCCTATTGTCTAGGACAGGGGTCGGCAACCTTTTGAAGCGGAAGAGCCAAAAGTTAAAATTTTCAAAATTTCCCTGATTTTAAAGAGCCACTAACATTGTTTTTATTTCAAATATTTTATTTTTTTATTAAGATTATTAGTAATTGTGCAAGGAGCTGGAGAGCCGCATCTTGATATCAAAAGAGCCGCATGCGCCTCGCGAGCCGCAGGTTGCCGACCCCTGGTCTAGGATGAATATGCTGTATAAATTATTTAATAATATCCCATACTTTGGACATCTTTAGTCTGTTAAATATTTTAATAAAACAAAAAATTTATAATGTTGTTTTTTTCACTTATATATATTTAGTTTTTACAATTTCTAATTTGTTCACAGGCCTTAACCAACTTTGTGATCATCTATAATGATACAGCACTGCACAGTATTCCTGTTGCAATAAATTTTGTCACCCACAGCCTTTTGAGAATGTTCAACATATCCACATATATTGAAGGGAATAGCTTCCCCTGGCCTGAGGTTTCAGCTGCTATACAGTTTAACAGTGGGGCCATGGCCTCTGTCTTGATGGTTGGCTTGGCTTTTATATCTGTACTGCCAGGATTTGCAGGGGATATAGTTAAGGACAGAGAGGTAAGTCAGCTACATCTGTCAAGGAAACTTTGCTAGATTTGTGAATCAACTGTATGTCATACTTTACATTTAAATTAAATATGCATTTTTAATGTGCATTCTAGCTGAGTTTTTTAAAGGCATTTCTGCATGACCCACCACCACCACCACATCTACTGCCCTGCCCACCCCAGACAAAATAGAAAACATAATTTTTATACAACATAGATAATTTCACTAGTGTCCACTCCAAAAAATATTAATTGAAAGTATTATAGATGTAAATATTCATTGAACCTCATGTTATGAACATGAAATGTAAGAATCTTTACAAATATCAATGTTTTGAATTGAATGTTTTCATTGTTGATACACGAGCAAATAAAGATTTTCATGTTTTTAAATTAATGTGATTCATTGTTTCGGCTTTTAAATTGGCACTTGTTCAAAACTATTTTTCTTTTTAAATTGTTCTAGTTGAAGCTAAGAGGACAGCTGCGCATAGCTGGGGTAACATTTAACCAATACTGGGGGACCATTTACCTGGTGGACATTTTAATTTACCTCATACCTTCAGTTAGTGTACTCATCATTGTGTTGGCTATGCAGGTATGTTTATGTTTGTTAATTTTGTTTTTAATCAATTAAACTGATGTCTTAAGGGTTGATTTAAAGCTTTATCATACCAGTTCATATTATAAATAGATTTTTGAGCTCATTGGAAAAATTCTTGCTGGTTTTTTTTAGCCATGGGGGAAATGAAGTAGAGTTCATCTTTTGCTATTTTTTCCACATTTTTTTCAAATCTTTGCAATGATATGTCTTTTTAAAATTCACTGCATTAGGTGTTTTTTAACTCCTGTTTCTTGATCCTTGTGGATTCTATACAACTTAAGCAATTAAAAATATGTATCGTTTGGCTTTCAATATAATTTTTTCGTAAATGTATGTGAACATGTTTTGGCTAGGAATCTCTATATCAAAGTTTCTTTTTATAAATCTATGTGTATAGGTTCCTGGCTTGAATTCTGAGGGAGCAATAGCTGCACTTGTCCTGATATTTATCACCAACATACCATTGAACATTCTACTGGCACTAGTGGTCTCCTTCATCTTTGATAAATCTGAATCATGCCACGCATACCTCTCACAGATTTTAACTATGGTATGTATTGTAAGGAAGATGCATCTGACAGCTAACATTAGTGTACGTAATGTCACCAAACATGTAGCGGGTTTGGAAACAAGTGTCATTACTGAAATAGCTATATTGACAGAGAGTGTTATTTCAACGCCTAGGGTATACACAGGTTCAGAATTAAGACAAAGTAAAGACAGCAGTTTTAACCGCACTGGATCCAAACTTCACTGCCTCACATGCATCAAGTCAGAAGTGTAACCACTTAGTGTAACTAGTCATTTAATAACATTTTAGATAAAAACTTTAGTGACAGCATCATATTTAATATTCTCACATAATGAAGTTTTAGAGAAACTTTTAGTGACAGCAATCAGGTTTAGTTATGTCAGTGATTGAAATTTTAGTGAGAATCTGTATCATAACGGAGAGCTATAAAATTTAATTTAGACAAACCAATAGACAATTTTCTAAATGTTAACTTTGTCTTATTTTTTTTTACCTAAAATTAAATAGCGTGGTTCCAAGTTTCTATTCAGTAAATAAAATAATGCTGTACATTTTTAAAATGTAAATTATATAGTGTTGTATGTTGTTATGATGTAAATTACTTTACTGAACAACTAATGGTGAAAATTGTGTTGCAGGTTTGTTTGTTGCCTTACCTCACAGTCTCACTTGTTGATATGTTAGCACATAGTGAAGCTGCCACAGTCATCCATTACATCTGTTGTATTTTTGATCCTCCGTACACCATCTTTGGGGGCATCTACTACATCAGTCGGGTGAGTTCACTACAATCTATCTGGCAGTTAACAACCTGACCTGTTCTTTATCCTTTAAGTTACTTTAACTTTAGCACACTTCCCTATGGACCTATGAATGCTTAAGAAGATCAACTATTTAAAACATAACCTGCTGAATAAAAACTGTTGCAATTTATGGTGAATTGCTAACTATACTGCACAATGTTCATTTTAAAAATAATGAATATTTCCTTAAAACAAGCAAATTGTTTAAATTTGAAATTCACTAAATGTTAACATTTGAGTTGGAAAGTACTTATTTACTGCAAATGTTTAGCATAATTTTTGTGTTTATTATCCTTGTTTCCATCAGATATATTTGATTGCTACACTGAGCCAACAGGAGGTCTCCACAAGTGATTACTTCAAGTTTGAAAACCATGTTGTCATAACCATCATTATGGTGAGCTACACAGAAAGAATTTCTTTTGTACCAAGTTTAGCTAAAACACAAATTCTAAGTTCTAATTAAGTTGAATTTAGTGAGGGGTTATATTTTGTGTGTCTGATTTATAGCTTTCTTTTATCAACGATTAATAATACTACTTATTATTAAAGGGGTCGGAAAAATTGCTTACTCTTGACACACAGGCTTTTATGTGGAGCACAATGTTTCTTCGCTCATTTTCTTTTACTTTTTCACTGAAATTGTCTTTGTTTTTTAAATTTCACATTCTTTTTTTTAAATTAGCAAGTTTAGGGGAGATCACTCTCGCATTATGTTTACATTTTTTCTGAAATTGTTTAATTGTAGGTCTTTATTTTGCATTTTTATTTTCTTTCCTTAGACTTCTCTAATTACTTCAGATTATTTTAACATGTTTGATTGCATTCACCTGGTGTGCTAACACAAAATTAAGACATTCTAATTACTTTAGATTATTTTAAAATAATTGATTACTTTCAGCCTTTGATTAATTTCATTTGGATGTACTGGCTGTTGCGTGTATTGGATGTCAAAAAAATGGGAGGAGATTTCAAGGAAGCTTTTCCATGCTATTCTAGTACTGTGAGTTATACTCCATTAAGGAACAGGGATAGCTCTGGAGATGAGGATGAAGACATCAGAGCAGAGAGACTGAGAATTGAAAGCTTAAATGCAAATGCACCCAAGGTACAATATTTTGTGCCACCTACTTGAGTATTATCATACAGTGGTTTAGTTTTTTATCTTTACCTTTTAATGCATGTAGCCAGTGCTATTTCTTTCTTTACCTACTCGCACAATATATTATAGGCCTACTAGAGCTTAGAAACTTAGCCTAATACCACATTTAGGTAAGAACTCAAACCAGATAAAGTTTAGAAATCCATCCCGCCATCCCATTGAACTGATTGCATTCTTATTCCCACTAGAACACTGCCTCATCTTTTGGTCTCACACAAAATAATGTCAAGGTAATGTACCATTCAACATTTCTGGGTACTTTCCTTTATGTTCTGTTACCCTGTTTTTATTTTAACAGGAATGTCATCATTGATTTAAATAATCCTCAGCATTGTGAAACTTTAATTTTAAAATTAAACCTTTACTATTAGTTTCCTGTAAATAACTGTGTTCCGAGCACAGAAGAAAGCATGTAGAGCATCTTGAAACTTATGTTATAATCCATTAGTTTTAGTTATTTAATTTAATGTGTTTTTGTTTGGTAGAAGAAAACAAAGCACCAGTTTATCATAGTTTAAATATAGTGGGGAAATAATGTGTGCACTAATCAAATCAATTTCAGTCCCAATTCCATTTTCTTAGTAATGAATTTTTAAAAATGTAACTTGTCTGAACTATAACTCATAGGTGTGTATCATCATTTATGGACAACTCCCAACCCCATACTTTGAATTGTGTATTTCTTTGTATTTGATGTTAAATAAGTTGGAAAAGGCTGCTTGTTGTTTATATAGTATTTTAAATTTTTTTATCAAAGCATGCCCTATTTATTGTCATATTTGTTTTTAATCTTACTGTTTAACTGTTTAATGATTTTAACTTTCCACTTTTATTTTAAATTGTGAACAATTTACAATAGCATCACGCTGAAGTAATCATTTAAAAATATCAAAAATTATTTATTTAATTATTGATAGTAAAATTTATGTTAATTCCTTTACTCAAAGTTAATTGTTTAATACATATCTGATAAGTATCTTTTTCCAAAACAAAGTCAAGTCACCTGGAAAAAGTGTTTTGTAGGAGAACACTGTTCTAAATGACTTTTGTTTCATTTTACTTTAAGTAAACTTTTGTTTCATTTTACTTTAAGTAAAATGACATATACTTATATTGTTTTCTCTTGGTATCCGGTATGTCACTGATGCAGAATAAGCTTTTTATAACTTATTTATCTGATCTTAAAGCATTGTTATATATTCTGTTACCATAGCAACCAGTGGCCTACACCTATGAGCTTAGAAAAGATTATGTCAAGAGAACAAACAAAACAAGCCTATGCAACACAGCCTCCATGAAAACAAAAACAGCAGTGCGTAACTTGAGCATTGGTGTGGATGAAGGGGAGGTCTTGGGTCTGTTGGGACCCAATGGAGCTGGGAAAACTACAGCTCTCAGTATGATCATTGCAGAGACAAAGCCAACTTGTGGCCAGGTGAGACATTTCTTTTTATTTGATTGAATGTTGAATGAATTAAGGGGAACCTACCAGTTTGGTTTTTAAACTTCATTTCCTAATTATTCCATTGTTGTAATTGTTATTGATAACTAAACTATAGAAAAAGGAATATAAACATGAAAATGACAATAATTATAGAAAAATGGAGTGGTTAATATCATAGTTTTAAATTATTTTTAAAAAGTAATTTGAAGAAACAAACAGCTTGTATGCTGTTATCTGAGTTATGTTCGTATGCTAGTTGTGCTTGGCTAAACACCGTAAATAATTTCTTAATTTATGTATGTTCACAGGTAGTTGTAAATGGCAACAACATGAGATCTAATGTGTTATCTGTGCTTGAATGTTTGGCCTACTGCCCACAACTAGATGCATTGTGGGAAACTATCACACTGGAGGAGCATCTAAAATGTTTTGCTGATATCAAAGGGCTTTCCCAAACAAATGTCAGGAATGTTGTTAACTAGTAGGTTGTTTGATTTCTTTTTCTATTCTCTGAGGATTATAAAATAATAAATATAACTGAGGACAATTATAGGGAAATCATTGATTGTGAAACTAGCTTTTGTTTAATTTATTTCGTTAGCATCTAGTGAATTTTTTTTTTAAACTGCTTTTTGGTTCATAATCAAGATTAAAATTATAAAATATAATCCATTTTAAATATAACAAGCAGTCTATAGTAAAATATCACAGAGTTAGGATTTTATAAGAAAAAACATAAAGACATAACTTTTGTTATCTACTTAGGAAACATTTCATTTGAATTTACTCCTTGTTACTGCAGGCCTATTTACTGCATTTTTAATTAAATGTTAGGGACAAATACGTTCTAGTAGGATGAGTTACATTTTTCAGTACTGTTAGATTTTAAAATTTTATCATTGACCAGCTACATAGAAAACTTAAAGTTGGCAGAGCACCAGAAAAAACAGACTAAAGCATTATCAGGAGGGACAAAAAGGAAGGTGAGTTTTATTTTGGAAGAAGTCAATGTTTTAAAAATAATTTCAAATCATCTCATGTTCATTTATTTTCCCCCACTAATAAAATTAATTATTTTTACTAGTTGAGCTACATTCTAAGCATACTTGGATCACCTCAATTAGTTTTATTGGACGAACCATCAACTGGCATGGACCCTCAGTCCAAACGATTTTTGTGGTAAAGTTTTTACATGATTCCTTTGTAGGGTTTTAGAGAAATGGTTCAAACTATGTTTAAATTTAATATTTATCTTACAGTTTTGATTACTTCTTTAATTAATCAACTTAATCATCATTAAACTTAAGTAGTAGTTGACTTCTAAGTAATATGAAGTGAGTTTTAAAATAAAGTCTTGTTACTCATTGTATCAGTGATAGCTTGATAAGACAGTAATTTAAAATCAGCATTGTTTAGTTGCAGAGCATTCTGTTGCTCTCTTTCTTTCAAGATTCATATTTTTTGCTTCCTAACCCTGGTGGCACATCTATCTGGTAGAAGGCTGCTGACAGGAAAACTCTATTGGGTTTCTTGACAGATTAAAAAAAAATTGAACTTAGTCCCAAGTTTTATGTTATTAGTTGCTGTTTGGAGTATGCCTTTCTACTGACAGCATGATTTCAGACTCGAACAGTGAAAACAGTTGTGTAGTTCAATAAAGAAGACAGCAGTTATTTTTTACTTTATTAAAGTAAAACTGATGTAATGATGGTAGATCAGCAAGTTACATAATACGTTTTGTTTAATCTTAAAACTACCAACCCATAACATAGCTTTTGTCTTTTCCTATAAGATTTACCATTTTAGTAAAATGGTTGTTAAATGATTAACTAAGGTTTATTTTAATTGTTCATAAAGCCAGTTGAGCTTGTGGCTTATATGGATTGGATTGTTTGATGCTTTACTATATGGTTCATTTTATTTGTCAACCTATTTTAGGGACACAATAAGCTCCAGTTTTAAAAACACAAACAGGGGAGCTATACTGACAACACATTACATGGAAGAGGCTGATGCCCTGTGTGGACGTGTGGGCATCATGGTCAACGGCCAGCTTGAGTAAGTCTAGACACATTTTCTGTTGTAAGATTATTTTCTCATTACTTGTAATTGGAGCAAGTAGCCTATTTTTCTATGTGCAAAAAGTTTACTTACATGGCAATTTTTTCTGTTCTAAAATGTTTTTTTTTTCACCTTGTTGGTCAAGACAATTGTCCTAATAGCATCAGTTTAATATCATCCTTACTTAACCAGTGATATTTGAATTACCCCATCTCACAATCCAATGAGGATAAATGTTTTAATACTATATTAGAGCCCATCTTAAAATGATAAATGTATTACTACTGTGCTTGCTATTCATTTGTTGATGTGAGAGAATCCCAATTTCTGTTTATTAAATAAATTACAATTTGTTATTTTCTAACCCAAAAGATGCCTGGGCTCTACCCAACACTTAAAGAACAAATATGGCAGTGGATACATTTTGGAAGTCAAGCTGGAAAATAACAATGTATCAGACATTGAGTCAAAGATGGATGATCTGGAAAATCACTTGAAAATGTTATTCCCAGGTGAAACATTCTGTCAAATAGTACAACAATACTTAGTGCAATGATATTGACATTATTGAAGTATTCTCAGCTATTTGTGTGACTTGTAATGGGTCATTTGGAGGTTAGAATAGTCTAGAACTTAGGAGAGAGTACATGTTTGAGTTGAGTTAACCTAGGTGTTAACCCAAGGGTGTTTAGGTCTTGTTATCCCAAGGTTGAGTGCGGGTATAAAAGCTGGAGTGACGATTGTAAGGGACTTGTTAGTAGCAGCTAGGGTTGAGGGCTTGTGGTGTAATGATAAAATTACAAGTTCAATAAAGGTTTTAACAGTGCCTTGAATCATGTTAGGAGTAAAAAAAAATTAACATTTAAAATTAGTTTTTATTAATAAATCATCATTATTATTTCTTTGCGAGGATAGGGCCTCTGCCAAAGCTTTCCACTCTTCACTATCTCCTGCCACTCTTTTCAGCTGCTCCCAATCCTTATGGTCTTTGTAGGTTAACCCATGTGTCGCTTGCCTTTGGGGTTCCACTCTATGGCTTGTCTCGTTTATTGTTAAATAAAGGAGATATAATTAATAAATAAGTTACAATAAATAAACAAGGTATTATAAATATTATTTTAAATAAATAATAAGTTGGTTTAAGTCTAATCTAGGATAAGATTATGAAACAAAAATTATATATACAAGATGGTAACTTATTAAAAAAAATGATTATTTTGGGATTTAATAACAGATCTATTTTACAGGTCTAGAAAATGTTGAAAGGTTTCAAGAAAGAGCCCAATATTCTATACCCAAAGATGATGTGAAAAATTTAGGCGAAACATTTAGTCATCTTGAAAGTTGTAAGATAACAACTGTTTTTTATCTTTTATTTGTCCAGTTAACTGTGAAGTTTAATGACAGAAAAATCAATCATGATATTAATTAGAAAATAGTTTTTTTTTTAAAGTGAAATTTATAGTAAAAAGTAAAATATGATAAAAATATGTGTTGTTTTACAGGTAGATCTACCCATGGGTTGGAAGAATACAATTTCAGCCAAAGTACATTGGAGCAGGTACACACACTTCTTTTTACTTTCTCAAATATGAAGTATAGAGGAAATGATCGTGCAAAAAATCAAAATCGATTTTCACAAATCTAGACGTTTTACACTTCCTTGAGTCAGAAAAACATAGTATTGCAATATTGTCTGTCTGTGTGGATGTGCCTGTGAACACGATAACTTGAGTACCATTACAGCTAGGTTGATGAAATTTCATATATAAGTATTATATCAAATCTGTAGTCCTTATCACCTATTCTACTTTTGTTTTTCAAAAGCCTATAACTTCAGTACTGTTTCAGATAGAAAGACAAAATTGTACTCATAAGTAAAAGATCTAATTTTTGAGTAATTTCCATTTACTGAAATTACGCTATTTCCGATTTCTAAAAAAAACTGAATTTATAATGTAATAATATTCGGCACTATATACATGCATTGTTTCCTATTCACTTTGTGCGCAATTTTTTTTTCTACAGGATTCTATTCTATTTTAAAAAGTTTAAGTAATTAAAAATCATGTCTATACCCCAAGTTGCCATCCCCCTTAGTCTTATATAAGGATATTCAAGAAAGTTTAGGGTAGATAACTCCCGCTTTATTTATTTCAGTTATGGGTCTCCCACAAAAAAATCTAAAATTTAAGCATTATAATCTTTTTTATTTGAACAAATAAGTTAAAAGCACTATTTCCTGTAGGCTCTAGTTATATTCAACACTATCATATGTTGTACTGGCACCTCAGGTTCAGTGTCATATATTTCTTTATCAATTGTTAATCACATATTTACTAATGTTTAACAAATATACCCGCTAGACTGGGTTTTTCTAAATTACAGGCAGTCATTTAAATTCATAATATATCCTGGTTCAATGTTTTGTGGTTTTTGTTGCATGAAAGTATATGGATGTAATATACAACATGTGGAGATTCATCCACCGAGTTGTTAATAATATTTGTATACCCCACTCCCCCTTCTAGTTGATGCAATAAGTGAATGACCCCTTATTTGTGTGATTAGTATTTTTTGGAAGTGTTAAGCTATTTTTTAAATATTTTAGTTTACATGAGTACAATAGAGCCTTTAATTAATTGTATTGTGTACATTAATACATTCATCAATATTTTATAGCTATCCTTTAAAAAAAAATAAAGAGATGCAATATTTCATTACCTGTTAATTTATTTTGGCAGGTTTTCCTGTATTTTGCCAAACTTCAAATGGAGGAAGATGAAGTTAACACCTGTGATAGACCCCGTCGATTGTCACATAGAAATGAGCCAGTCAGTCTTTGACCAGATATTGTGCTGAGCCTACACAAATATTTTTTTTTTAATGTTGCTACTTCATGTAAAATTTATATTTATTTATTTAAGTTTCAAATGAATGTTGTCCAGTGCCTTTAACTTTGGTCTTTATTTTAATTCTTGTAAGCTATGCATTAAATCATCTATTTAAAATCAAATTAAGGGAACAAGTTTAAACTAAACTTCCCGACCATTAGTGATTTACATTTCAAATGCTCTTACTTTTGTAAAGTAATATTTAAAAACATTGAAATCCCAACAATTATATAATAGTTTTAATTATGTATGTTTAATAGCTTTAAAAGCTTTGCATTTCAATTTTTTTTTAAATTTTTTATGTAATTGCTGTTATTATAATAATTTTCATAGTCATTTTTGACTGCATTTAAAGCCAGCATCATTTTGCCAGTGTGGGTAATTTTGATGATTCACAGGCTACAAATAGTCCTAGTCTGATATTTATTTATATTTGAAAAATAATCTTTTTCTTTTTAAATATGCCAAATCACTTATAACGTATTTTGTTCACAGATTTACTGATTTTATTTTTACAATCACTAGTTCATATATACCCGTATTTATATTTATTGTTTTAAAAAAATGCTATTGGCTTCTATTTTTATCAGCTGGAGTATTTGTCAATTTTTAAAAAGTTTTAGTCTAGAGTTGCTTTTGCAAGTTACCAGGCTTTAATGCCCTTTCTCACCCCATGGTTTTTTTTCTTAAAAAGAAGTAATAGGTTGGAAAATTTGTGGGGCAGATTACCTTATTCTTTATAAGGATCCCATAGTAGGTGGATCTCATGTTATAAGCAAAATGTCTAAATACTTAAATACTGTAATGTTTAAATATTTAGTAATTATGACGGTAATCTAAGTTCATGTAACTTGATATATTAGCAAATCACTAACTACCACCTCTCCCCCCCCCCCCCCCATCACATGACCCACCTCACTTCACCATTAGCTCTGTCAAATGAAAATAAAATGGAAAATTATTAGTTCAAAAGTTTTTCTGTTGTTTATCATACTGTTTTCTGCTAAATTCATTTAAAAACATTTTGTTTTACATCTTCAATAATTGTATGTGCATTCCTCTCTTTTAAGAGAGTTGGTATATGGGATATATATATATATATATATATATATATATATATAACATATTTATATTTACTAATGGCCGTTGAGGGAGAAATACAACAGACGCTAGGTTGATAGTGTAGTCTCTTTTCTGTAAACCGAAAACAAAACCAAAATCATCACCTCAACTTCAAATCTAACCAGAAACGAAAAATGTCATTGAAAACAGATTTTTATCCAGAATCGGCATTTCAGCCGGATTTAAGCCTGATCTACATGTAGTTACTGCACATTGATACCAAATATAGTCGTAGTCATACCCCTAAATCTTGCTCAAACATAACAAAAGTTGTATTTAGAGTTTCTTTGGGGGGGGGGGGGGGGGGGCAGAGCTCGTCTGCGAAGCACGTCTACCGTCTCCTATCCCGAAATAAAATTTATATAGAAAATATACTTTTAACAGTGTCCGCCCCCCCCCCCCCCCTACCCACAAAAATTTCAAGTACCCCCTTCAGAGAGAAAAAAAAGTCTGAAATTAACATCGGTCATTTTTGTTGATCTTACACTAACAGACTAAAGGTAGACCCTACTTCTATAATCTAGAACCGTTTGCTGCATTTGGGTGATAAACCTCACTCACGAAGACAGTGTTTCTTTCAGACTTTTTTTCGAAGGCGGGGCACTTGAAAATGTGCAGGGGGTGAATAAATTTATTCTGGGGCAGGGAGGCCGAGCCTAGTAGAAGTATATATTTTCTATATAAATTATATTTCGTTGGGGGGGGGGGGGGGGTTCGTCCCTACCCGGAGAGATACATGAAAGAAACTGCACGCAAACCACTTTTAAGATTAGGCAAATTAATGGGTTTTATTCAATGTTTACTCTAGAATCAATGACGACATTATTGTGTGTACTTTTTTGGCTGTTGGCTTTCCGACTATATTTTCCATGTGACGTCACGTTTCGTTTTCTGTTTCACTGCGAATGTTTTTTACTTATGTTTTCTCAGGGGTTGTCCACAGACAGTTTTTTCATCGCGGATGTTGATCACTGGTTATTTGACCATTGGTGATGTGCATAGCCAAGCCTACACCTGCATCTACAAATACAATTACATTTATACCTACAGCTACATGTACAGTACACGCACACCTACCGCTTTCCAACGGGCGAATGACCCGGGGGGGGGGGGGACGCCCCGGGTGCCGACCCTAGGTTTTTTTTTCCAAAAAAAACACACTAATGCACTTGCACACATGACATGATGTTATTTATTTCTAATTGAAAAAAAAACAAACATTTTTTTTTTCAAAACCCGAACAGGCCAGCATTGAGTATCCTAAGTTCTTATTTTGTGTCTGTATATATATATATATATATATATATATATATATATATATATATATATATATATATATATATATATATATATATATATATATATATATATATATATATATATATATATATGGGGGGGGGGGGCTAAAATGTTTTTGCGAGGTGGCCCTTTTTTCTACTTCCGCCACTGTACTGAATAGGTCATTTTTTATTGCTTGTTTCATAACAAGCCCTAATACTGCAATTTTCATATAGTTATGGCCACTAGACCTATTAAACGATGTAAAAAAATGGTACAACACGACAACAGGTGATGCTTTGTCACTTTGTTTAACCTAACTGATAATTTAAAACTATAATACACTATTATCGAAATTGTTCTAAAGACACAACCAAAAGTAGACCAAATAAGCTTGCACCTTATACAAACTACACTCTAAAGCAGTTGTTCTTAACCTTTTTGGAGGTACCGAACCCTACCAGTTTCATATGCGCCTTCACCGAATCCTTCTTAATAGCTTTAACGTTAACATTGACAAAATCTTATCGTGAATTATATGTCGGGTGTGTGTCTTGACCTCCGCCGAAGCTCTGAGACTTACATACCGAACACTTGGGTAGCGCATGATACAAACCACTCTATAACTCAGAACAGGCATATATTTTTTTTTGACATACTAATCTTTTGTTAAAGGGAAACGCATCTGAATGAGAGTTTAATATTCGTAAAGTTTTAAGAAACGAAAATCATACACTGTAATTATTAAACCTTTTCCGGACTGTCGCACACACGCTTACACACACACCTACATACACGCTTACACACACACACGCTTATACACACACACGCTTATACACACAATTATACAAACACACACACACACACATATATATATATATATATATCTATATATACGCACACATACATATATATGTATATCAGTAGCGTACGCAGGGGGGAGCAGGGGGAGCGGCCGCTCCCCCTCTGGCCATTTTCAGCATAGTGGCGCCTTTTTGGAAACTTTTTAAACTCAAAGTTTTAAACAATGATATTTGTTAAAAAAATATTTTTGGTCGGCACATTTATGTAAATCACAAGATTTCTTTTCATGCAGCAATTAAGCATTATTGTACTAGTCTAGTAGTGTCTACGTTTACAACACGTATTAACAGCTGCATTAGTTTGCCATTCTAAAAATAACCATTACGATGCATTGCAATGTTTAAAAAACCTCTACGGGTAGTACCACTTAGCAAGAGAGGTGTTAAGTTTAAGGCAACTGTATAATGTATTTGCTTACGAATAATTGAATTAGAAAATGTTATACACAAAACTTCACACTAAATTACTTTATATATACAATTTGAATCGCGTGATTAATTTTTTTAAAAATTACAATACAGAAACAAATACAACTGATGTGGCACCTCTATTTAAATTTACTGATGAGCAAACTGCGTAGTGGTGGGGAAATTTTGACAAGGTCAACAACGTCATCATGATGAAGTAGTAGTATTCTTACAGTTTGGGCGATAGTGATTACGATTACAAATTATATGAAACAGTTACAACCAGCTCCCTCCCCCATGGACCCCTCTGTAAAAAAAAATATTGTCATAATACCACTCCTCCTTATTTAAATCTATTTCTGTAATATATATTTGTGTAATATATATTTGTGTAATATATATGTATGTTTAGAACAGTCATCTAAAAACTGACTCTATGTTCACTCTGAGTTGGTTATCTCCCCCCCCCCCCACCACACACACACCTCACCACCACAAATGTGTAGAGCGACATTAATGTCACATCTAGGTATACACTGGGTTGGATAATTGACCTAAAGTGACCGGACAGTGGTGAATGAAGTTGAACCCACACCCCCCCCCCAACCCACCCCGAACTGATCTGTTAAGTACATGTAGAAAAACGCGTAGTGATGTACCAAAGTACCATGCCGCCAAAAAAAATTAGCTTTTTAAACGTAAAACTCTGTGAATATTGTTTTTGCAATTACCAGTAAAAAGGTGTGTGATCAATACAGTGATCTAACCCATAGCTATCACTATGTTAAAAATGATCTTTAAAGAACACAAAGAAGCAGTAGTTATTTAAAAATATATGATCTGAACTAAAAGAACGATATTTAGTCAAATGTAAGCTTTTATTCCGAAAGTTTTCTATAATATCGAAAAGCGTGGTTTTATACCAACTCTGATTTTAAAAACTTTCATTATGCTGTAATACTTTAGCATTTATCATGCCGATATATTAAATTGTGATTATAGACAAAAACATTTTGTAAACACGAATAGTGTAAACAATTTGATTATGTTCTAAAGTAATTATTTATTTGTTTTGACATTTATAATTAAATGTGTAGAGATATACATATTTATATTAATAGAGTGATTATTTCCCCTATTTCACTCGTCTTAAATAATTTCCCAGGAATTATTATGTAAGAAATGTGTTTACAAGAATTACAAACCAGATTGTGTTACGTTCATTGTATTTGGTTGTAGTGTGTGTTTATTTTTTTGTTTTTTTTTTGTTTAGATTGATACAATTTTTGTTTTGTCGGCCTACAATGTGTGTTTTTTCTTATTTCTTCAGAGTGCTACTTTCAATTTATTTTACATCATAGCGAAGTAATGACATACAGCTAGTAATTATATATATATATATATATATATATATATATATATATATATATATATATATATATATATATATATATATACATATATATGTAAATATATATATATATATATATATATATATATATATATATATATATATATATATATATATATATATATATATATAATACACGTATATAGAACGAGTTAAAAATTCGGCGCCTTTTTTGCTCCTTTCGCTCCCCCTACAATGAAAACCTGGATACGCCTCTGATGTATATATATTTATATATGTATGGATATATATATATATATATATATATATATATATATATATATATATATATATATATATATATATATATATATATATATATATATATATATATATATTTATATATATATATATATATAAGGGAGCCAAATTGAAAGTTCGCCCCGGGCGCCGAGAAGGGACGCTACGGCTCTGGGATAACCCTTGAAACCCACAGTTAGCTAACTAGATAACCGGTAGTCTAGTAGTTACTTAAATTTAATTAGTCACCTTTCTTTTACATTACTAGCTGCGGACAATTTTACGGATCTAAAACGATAGATTACCGATACAAATAAATTGTTATACATATTAGAGCTTGGTCTGTTGCGAAAAATGTGTTTACACAACGTTTTAAGTCCTGTTTGGGGCATACACTAGACAGCAACTAGGAAACATAACTCAAAGTGTGAGAAATAATTTAGAGTTGGCCGATTCTAGCCGAAAAAAAAAACAACGCATGCGCAAAGGAGAGAAATTGCCGCCTGCATTCACGGTGATGTTTTCGATGCTACTGAGCATGC